TAACACAGATTTATTAAAACTTGTAGCCCATGGTCACCTCGTGTATATGCAATTGCATACATTGCCTAGCTAATGTTCACAAGCCAGAGCTTAAAATAAACATCTGCTATAAGGCATCAATCATGAGAACATTCAGAACTCAAATTTAGACCGTTTGACAGGAGCTAAGCTTGGATCCCGAAATCCCTCAGCGAGGGCTGGGATAGAATCAGAAGTGTTTTCCAGGTCAGATCACATTCCGCAATATTGCTACAATCAAATTTAAACCAAAGCCAAAATGCCAACGCACAAACAGATTGATAATGGGAACAGGTTCTTAAGTTCTTGACAGCCTTCCATCTTAGTGTTGAGTTTAGCCTCTATCCCGAGGATAACCATGATGTGGTTTCATCACAATTTCAAAAGTGATATGAATCTTCCATATATCATCTTAGTAAAGTCTGATTTGCCTCGATACTACATAGGAACAGGAGTAGGCCATTCTGGCACTCAAGCCTGTTCCGCCGTTCTATTAGATCTTGCCTGATCTACACTTCAACTACAAATACCTGCCTTTGCCCCATACATCCTTTGATACCCTGACTTAACTAAAAATCTATCCACCTCAGTCTTGAAAACTTGAATGGATCCAGCATCCACAGGATTTGGGGAGAGAGTTCCATATTTCCACTACCCTTTGCATGAAAACTACAGGTTCAGAAAACTTGGCAAACCAATACAATAGTTTTATTTTCACGTGCCATATAAATCTATGGAACAGGTACATATTTCATTGGTAAAATAGAATAAAGAAATATTTTAATCTAATCAATTCTATCCTTCATTAGGACTACTGACCAGCTGCTTCCGTGACTCATCAGAAACAAATGTTGTGCAACTATATATTGCTGTGCAATAATTATCCTTGTATTTAATAAAGGGCCTTATCATGTCAACAAACGCACTCAGATCTAGTCAGCATATCCTTGGTCTAACAAACTCTAGGTTTTGCTTCCGACCATTTGCAATACAGAATGGTTAATATTCAAAATATACAAAGCAGGTTTTCAACTAACTGCACTTTAAGCTACTGAAAAACAGAATTCCAGACAAAATCACAACCCCCCCCAAGAGTATATTTTATAACCTTTAACACAATTAAGGTGTGGTGCCCCATGTTTTCTATGGAGACAGAACATATAAATGATCAGAAACACTACTCAAGACCATCAAGAATTTTTTTATATATAAACTTACAAAAATGCTCCTCCTTCCCCACACCAAAAGTATGTCATTTAAAGTTATGCTAGGACTTGTGTTACTTTACTCATATTTCTGAGTATGATCTCATAATTCTCCTTACAAGATTTTTCATTTTTAAGACAATCATTCAAATGAAATGAAAACTATAATGATAATCCTTGCATTTGATTTAGTGCCTGATCACGTAATTGAGATATCTCAAAGCGCTTCAGAGTATACAGTAAAGTAAATTGACGGTATATTTGTAGGCAAAGTGACTGTATATTCTGTGGACAAAGAACAATATCACAGATCTCTACTGTCTGGCCCAATTGCCAATGTGCAAGCGACATCTTGTCTATTGTCCTGATGTACATGTTGAATTCTTTCAAATATAGAGAATTATCTTGTATTTCAATCATGTATACAGGATTATAATAATTCAGGGTTGTTGCTGAAATGATGGTTGTAAAATGGAGGGGGGGGGTTGACTTGCATTTTGCTTTAATCGTTCTTACACTTTACTTAATAATAGCCTAGTGCAGGGTAGAAGTACTGCCTAATAGTCACTTGGTTGTGGTAAGAGATGCAGCTTACTTCTAAAATGTGATGATTAATTCTTGTTAAAAACTTTAGTTTGTGAGCTTGCCACCTGCTATTTTTATCCCCCTTCAATCACTGACAATTGGGGCAGCCAATGGAGGTCTGTGATATTAGGGTACAACATTCGTTCTGGTTTTGATTTAATTTAAACTTGTTTTAAATGAATTACTGCAGGAAAGACAATTCTACATAATTTTCAGAATTATGAGTAAGGTAGCAAATGACCATCTTTTGCTAATACTTTTTGACAGAATCTAGCTCAGAATAACCCACAACTGCCTTCATGACATGCCAGTGTGCCCAATCAGACAATGACCTCAATCATAGCTTCTTAATGAGGAACATTATTTGGAATTTTAAAACAAAAAGAGGAATCAATGTGATTTAACAGATTCTATCTGGATATCTTAAAATGTTACAGAAACAGACTATTCGGGCCATGGAGGCTGCTTTGCTGTTTTTCTTCAAGAGTCACCCAATCTAAGGTCATCCCCCTGCTTGCTACCCATACCATTTAATAACCCTCTTCATCAAGAATTCCCTTTTAAGATATCTTCTCAAGTCTACTTACTAACAATGGATGCCAGTATCAAATTTCAAAATGTTACAGAAGCATGATAGCTTTTTATTTATTCCCATTTATAATAAAAATATCTTTCTATCTGATATGGCATAGTTGGAACCTAATAATGCAAGAAAGCTGAAACTAAAGCCATATGACTGAAATCCCATTGATTCAGTCCTTACTAAGACATTGCTGGACTCAGCAACCCCTCTCCTAATGCCATTCATTATTTGAATAAAAATATTCCATCCAAATGAAACAGAATATTTGATAGTTTGTCTGGAAAAATAGTGTAGATTTGTTCCACTTCAAATCAGCTCCTAGGCTTAACTCAAATTACAGACCCAGTTACTCACAAGTATGAGGAAAATGCATCAGTTACATTGAACAACCTGACTACCAACAATACACAAATACTTGTCTTGTAAACATGAAATACTTGTCACCATTTTATCCTTTCAGACGTACTTTAAACTGATTTGCTGTCTTCCGTATGTGGAGGACAGAAACAATATACTATAAAACCAGAAACCCAGAATAAAAGGCTACCATTTATTGATCAACTGAATAAAATATTCAGTCTTGAATATTTTCAACCTCACTGCAATGACAGCATAGGCTTCTTCTTGCCAAATGCTCACCTTAGCAATAAGTCAGAATTTGCTTAAGCTGAAAAAAAAATGGTACCAAATTATACTGCTAGGCCAAGTCTCAACAAAACTCAAGCCAAATGAGACTGGTTACAAATACTAATCCCTGATATTGTTGGCATCTCAAAAATATCAGCATTCAATGCACATAATTTATTTTACTGTTGACCCATAAGATATTAAAGGTTTGTCTTAGATTTGCATACTTTCACAGCCTATATATACAGTGCCACGCCTGATAAAAAGGATTTGTGAATTAGATCCATATTATTCCATTTGAAAATCAATACATTTAAGAATGCAAGATGTCAACACATGACACCCCAGCTGAATGGCAACAAAAATTTTTGAAGGAATTTTAAAAATGTCATGGCCAATTGCTGATTGCCTTGTAGTTCCGTTCCAAGTAGTTTAATTTTTAAACCAGCCAAGACAACATTTGTTCTGCATTAAAACCTCCAAGGAGCTTTATTATCCATTTTTTTAAAATCTTGAAACACCATCAAATTATTATGTGCAGTCATTTAAATATTTTCAGTTTAATTATTAAGACCTGGTGGTAAAATACAATTGATCCTAACTAGGCTTTGTAAAATCTGACATTTGTAAAAAAAATCCTACTTTAAGAAAAATCATTGTAATTATGCATATCTGTGATTTCATAATTAGTAATGAATTTTAAGATGGGTTAAAATAGCCATACATTTTGACTGTAACTGGTTTAGCACTTATTTTTAATTCCAAGCTAATCAGCCCTTTCCAGCACGATCATAAACCTAGAACAACTTTTCTTCTTCCATAGAGCAGATTTAACTGCAACTGTGCAAAGTAGGTTTAATAAAGCAATGTTTGCTTACCAGTTCTCCAAATGTGAAGCCAGTACATTTTGAATACAAATTAAGGGCATACATTAACTACAATTCCCTTAACAATTTTTATGGGCTTGGAAATCATAGAGACCTTAAGAAAATAAATCCACTAAGAATTCCCTTCCAAAACAAAAAACAGAAATGCCAGATATGGACAGAAGGGTAATCGGATCCAAAGCTCAGATCAGTTAACATTTCAGGCATGGACATTTAATGAACCTGGAATGGTGGCATGAGAAGGGTCTGCTATATAGGACAATTGGGAAAAGAAGAACACAAAAGGAATACAAAGGGGAAAATTTAAATGATAGGAGCATTAATGCTGCGGAATACTGTAATGGAAGATAAAAGAGACAAACATACACAATGTGTAAGTAAACATGCATGCATTAGTTGTATTTTGATGGGATGACTTTCACGTTACTGCTTTTAAAACTTAAAAAGGATCAATTTAAACAATTACAAATAACAGAAATAGGGGAAGCATAACTTTAAAGTAAACTCTGTTGCATGTCAATGAGCCATGAAAACCAATAAGGTTCCAGGTTTAATTCCTGACCTTGATTTAGGCAACTCATCTCACCAGGGTAGTATTGGGACATGAGACTTGCCCTCAATGTTCTTGGGCTCGACCCAAGAAATAAATTTTAAAAAACTGCATTTGATACAACACTATCACCTCAAAGTGCTTCACAGGATTCAATGTACAGTGACTGATTATACACAACCATGGCAGCCAACTTGCACACAATGTGTCATAGACAGCATGAAGTGAATCACCAATTATATCTTGGGGATTGTTGCCCAGGAAGGACAGCACCTCTGACAATGCAGCGCTCCAGCATTGGAGTATCAACCTATACTGTGAGTTCAAAGTCCCATCATGGGGCTTGAACCCACAACCTTGTGATGCAGAAGTGAGAGTGCTATCGACTGAGCCAGCCTGACATCTGGGATGGGGCAGTCTACCTTCAAAATTAGTTTCTACTGTTGTTGACTATCCAATGATTCATGCTGGGAAAATGTGCACCAGTGGGTAAGCAAGAATATCAGGTTCTAAATCCCACAAGAGAAAAGTCCACCGCTACTCACCGTCTGCACTCACACATGAAGAAAGGCAACCTGGAGCAAGATACTGTTGGATGATGACACCCAAAGATTTGTACCCCAGCATGCGTCACTACCTTCAGGAGAGATGGGAAGAAAATTAAAGAAATTTAAGACAAACTCTTCCTTCAAAGTTTCAAATACAAGTCCCAAATACACACAGACATTTGCAGTTTCAGTGTTTAGCTAATGCTGTCAACTGTTAAGTTTCAAGATGGGCTCTTCTCAATGCAGGGTTTCCTCTCAATTAAAACAATTAATGCAATGTAAACCAGCTATCTTGAAATCTAAAACTGAAATTCTATAGAGAGAAACATTACCCCATGCCATATCTCCTAAAAAACCCCACTAATCTTCCCACACTCCATGGAAACACTTCCTGCAGTTTTTTCAGCCTCGTAACTACTAAAATTAAAGGCCTCCTCTCCTCCCGATTACATCCAAAAAATATTTGACATAGCCTGGTCATGTCGTTGAAATTTCTCAAAGCACTTCATTTCTCAAAGCACATTGTACAGTGAAACAAGGCACTCGAACACAAAAATTGGCAAAATAAAAACGAACCCCCCCCCACCCCCCGAAGGCCAAACTCAAACCTATCGCTCTCCCACAAAAATGCCAAACGAAACGGGGGGAGGGGAGGGGAAGGGGGGGGGGGGGAGGGGAGGGGAAGGGGGGGGGAGGGGAGGGGAAGGGGGGGAAGGGGGGAAACCAAAAAAAACCCGAATGTTTTCGTGGCACCAAGAAGCCAGATTTGCTCCTCCAAAATGCAGGGAAGTTTCGGCGAGCTGTCAGGCCGGGTGTCTAGTATTCCTCTTTGTGAAAATTAAAGCGGACAATGGGATTAAGGGAGAGATACGTGGTGCGTTGGCCATTCCTGTTTACTTTTGGGGCCTATACACACACACACACACACACACACAGAGAGAGAGAGTGAGAGTGAAAGGAGAGCCCATCTGCCGCAGGAGAGTCACCGCAGCGGCGCCCAGGCCCCGGACTGCCATAACATAACTACAGTTTGGCCCGAGGTGTAATAGACCCGGGGAGGAGGGGGTTGGGAGGGGGTTGGGAGGGGGAAAGCTCTAGGCCCGGGACAGGGCCTCTTCCCCCCGCTGTCACTTTTTCCACTGGAATTTCGCGGTGAATTTTCACCCCTTTCTCTCTCTCTCCTTTTTTTTTAAAAAAAAAATATCCCCGCGGCAGCGAGGAACCGGGGCCGAGACCGTCGCCAGTCCTGGGTCCGGAAAAAAACCGTGAAGTTAGCGGGGAGGGGGGAGGGAGGGGGCCTAAACAACAGGTCTCCGTGTGTGTGTGTGTGGGGGGGGGGGGGGGTACAGAGACGGCCTACCTCGCTGCGGGTTCCAGCCCAACAATCGGCTGATGGCAATGGCAGGAGGAGAGAATTTTTTTTTTTTGCGCGGGGGTACGGGGGGGGGGGGGAGGAAGTGGTGGGGAGGAAGTGGTGGGGGAGTTGTTGATTTGTTGCTCCAATACCTGTCGCTTTTCTTTTCTTTTAAAAAAAAAGCCTTTCCTTTTATAAATGGGGTGTGGGGGGGTTGATGGTGGTGAAAGAGGCGAGTCAGTGAAAGAAAGAGAGAGAGAGGGGGGGGGAGAGGGAGGTTTGGGTGCAGATGACCCGGTCCCGGGCCTACTCTTTACCCTCAATCCCCGGGCTCGCAGATAAAGCCGGAGCCCAAAGCCGCCACCGCCGGTAGAGAGCCGGGAAGGCTGAGGCGGATGTGAGCACGTCAGCCGCCTTGGTGTTGCTGGGAAGGTGGTTAGGAACTTCCTCCTCCTCCGTGTCCCCCCCCACCACCTCCCACCCTACACAGACAAAAAAAAAGCACCCACCGGCGGCCTGAACCGGTTTATAAACAAGCTTTAAACCGAAAAGAAATACCCTGGGAAGCATCCAATTAAAGATGTCAAACGAGGGGGGAGGGGGGGGGGGGTGTTTCCCTTTTGTGAGTGAGTGTGTATATATGTCTCTCCCAGACGGGCCGGGGCTGAGCTCAGGATGACAGGGCCTCTCGCTCCATTTCCATTCTTCTCCTCCTCCTCTTAGCGCAAACCAGGAAAAAGAAAACTCAACAGCACAGAGACACACACACACACACACACAGGGGGTGGGAGGGAGAGACAGACAGACACACAGAGGGGGTGGGAGGGAGAGACACACACACACAGAGGGGGTGGGAGAGACAGACACACACAGAGGGGGTGGGAGAGACAGACAGACACACACAGAGGGGGTGGGAGAGACAGACAGACATACACAGGGGGTGGGTGGGAGAGACAAGACACACACACACACATACACACAGAGGGGGTGGGAGAGACAGACACACACACACAGAGGGGGTGGGAGAGACAGACACACACACACACACACACAGAGGGGGTGGGAGAGACAGACACACACACACAGAGGGGGAGAGAGAGACAGACACACACACAGAGGGGGAGGGAGAGACAAGAGAGAGCTCTGCCCGGGGCTGGTCATCAGAGAGAGAAAAAAAAATATTTTTTAAAAAAAGCACACACCAATTTAAAAAAACACAGGGACTGCCTCCATCCAGCACCACGTATTGCAGACCTTAAAGGCTTCTGACTCGGTTATTAAAGATTCCCCACTGCCTTCGGAGCAAAATAAAATTAATACAAGAGCAATAATTGAAAACAACCTGCCCAGCCCCGGGCTTCAGAGCCTGAGGAATTCATTGTATGTGTCAGGGTGGGGGGGGGGGACAGAGAGGGGGGGTACGGAGGGAGAGAGGGGGGAGGGGAGGCCAGGGAGGGGGACGGACGGAGGGGGAAGAGGGGAGGCCAGGGAGGGGGGGGCAGGGAGGAGGGAAGGGGGGGAGCAGGGAGTGGGGGGGGCAAGAGAGGGGAGGGGGGAGCAGGAAGGGGGGGCAAGAGAGGGGGAGGGGGGAGCAGGGAGGGGGGGGGCAAGAGAGGGGGAGGGGAGAGAGAGAGAGAAGCATACGAGGCTGGGCTTTTAAAACACACCAGTTTAAAGGGAGGCCTTATTTTTTTTCTCTCTCTCTCTCCCCGCCCCCCCTTTATCTGTTTGTTTTTTTTAAAAATAAAAACACACACACACGCACGCACCCACCCACCCACCCACCCATGTTCCTGGTTGGTTTACCTAGTTTGTCCCAATGCTTACAGCCTGCGCGCAGCCCACACGCTGCCTATTGCCGCCCGCCTGCTCGCTCGCTCGCTCGCTGACTGACTGACTGACTCCCGACTCGGCCTCTCCACAGCTGAAGCCTCGTCACGCGCGCCCCGTCGCCGCCGTCGCCGCCGCCGCGCCGCGCCTCCTTCCGCCGGCACTCTTTCCTCCTCGTTCCATCGCCTCCCTCGGCCGAAGCCGAGAAGACGACGGACGGGGAGAAGAGACACAGTATTTTTGAGAGGGGGAGGGGGGGGAGCAGTCAGTCGCTCGCTCCCTTCCACTCGATTTCTCCAACCCCACCCCCCCCGAAAAAAACACACTTCGTCACGATAGTGTTCTGGTGTTTGTGAACCGACTGGTTCGATCTTTCGTGTCGTGTGATTTTATTGACAAAACTATGTCACCCCCCAACCCCCCCCCCTCCACTCACGTTTCCAGTAATGGACCTGTCCCCCCCCGCCGCCGCCGCCCCGCTTCTCCTCTTACTCTTTGATTGTAATATTACTGCGCGGGATCATGACCCCCTCCGCCCTCCCCGTCTCCCGTTCCTATTCCGGAGTCTTCGGGGGAGCGCTGGCCCTCCCCGTCCAGCTATGAAGATAACGTGCCCGCCTGCAAAAAGCGGCGGCTACACGGGTTCAAAGGAGACGGTGTCGGTTTTTCTTTAGAAAACAAATGTGCGATTTTTGACGAATTTGTGTCCCGCTGAACCCCCGGAGGGGGGGAGAGTAAAACTAGTCGCGGCCGCCCTTGTTTACATTCGACGCCCCGTTGCTCTGGTAATAAGAAGCGTCCAAAATGGCGGCCTTGATGCAAGGCAACATCTTCGAAATCACAGGGAACGGCCCGGCGCCCAACAAGGATTATTATCAGATTATCATCACGCCCACGAACGTGAGTATTCTGACGCTCTGAAAATCCCGAGACCCGTGAAAGCGCTCGAGGGAATCCGTGATTCGTGGGCACGGCGCCCGCCAGAGCCTTGAGCTTCGCTCTGCCACCACCAACACAGCAGCAATAAGGGCATTCTTTGCCCCGACTTGGGTTTTGAAAGGGAAATAATATTACTTTCTTTTTTTAAAAAAAAATACGATTTTGTTCCATTTGGACGCTTTTTTGACTTTTTGTAAAAAAAACAAAGACTGTTCAGTTTTCTTTTAACGCTTTTGACCACATTTACAATTGATGTCTTTTCTGATCCTCAATCCGCGTTGAGAGCCGTGCGTGCAGACTGGTCACTGGTCATCGTGATAAGCTGCTTGATGTTCTCGTTTGAACGTTGAAAGTGGACGGTCGAGTCCAGACTGATTCAACAACAACAACAACAAAATTACCTTTGTATGGCGCCTTTCATTGTCGGGAAGACGACCCAAGGAGCAGGACAGTGAATCCTTTGAAGCAGAGTGATCAAAAGCCGGTCGAAGAGGAGGTTTTTGAGATGGATCTTGAGGGAGGCAAGGGAGGGGACAAGGCAGAGGGACCGGGGGATAGAGTTCCAGAGGGTGGGTGCAGAGTGGCAGAAGGCCCACCCAGCCGCCAGTGGTGGGGCGAGCGAAGCGGGGACGTGAAGCAGGCCAGAGCTCGCTGAGCGGAGGGAGCAGGCAGGAGGGTAGGGGTTTATGAGGTCGCAAAGGTGGAGGGGAGCAAGGCCATGGAAGGTTTTGAAAGTGAGAACCAGGATTTTGAACAGTATCCTCTGTGAAGGGAAGCCAGTGGAATTGGACAAGGATGGAGGTGATAGGATCACGGAGCCGGTGCGGGAGAGGACACGGGCAACAGAGTTCTGGATGATCTGCAACCTATGAAGGGAGGAGTTGGGAAGGCCGACAAGCAGGGAGTTTGCATAGTCGAGCCTCGATGTAATGAAAGCGTGTATGAGGATTTTGGCCACCTGTGGTGTGAGACAGTGATGGAGCCGGGCGATGTTTCGGAAGTGCGGGATGGCAGAGCAGGTCATGGCACAGATGTGAGGTAGAAAGAATAGTTGAGGGTCAAAGAAGACGCCAAGGTTCCGTAGTAAGGCGGAGTGTGCAACCATGGATGGTGATGCTGTCAGCGCCTGAGGTGTGGAGGTGCTGATATAATAATAATCCTTGCATTTGATAGAGTGCTTTTCACATCTTCAAGATGTCTCAAAACGCTTCACAGAATATGCTGTAAAGTGAATTGACCGTATATTTGTGGGCGAAACGTGGCAGCCAATTGCGCACAGCAATGTCCCACAAACAGTCGTGGATTGAAAATGACCAATCTATTATTGTTTTGGAGAGATTATTATTAGGCCTGTGGAGTAAGGAAACATGCCCAAGGTTTCGTCCTGCCTTGTGTGGTGCACATCCACAGATATGAAGAGACATCAAGGGACCATATTATAAGGGGGCACATGGTCAAGATGCCTGCCTTGACGTGAAGATAAGAACAACCATCTTTACTGATGGGAGCCAATCAGGAGAGCCTTGGTCTTGCTGACGTTCAACTGAAGAAAATTAGGTCTCATCCAGGACTTCTGTCAGGACAGCAGTGGTCCTGGAGTCAAGGGCGGAGGCAGAGAGGTACAGTTGGGTGTCATCCGCATACAGGTGGATGTTGACCCTATGTCTGCGGATGATGTCACCAAGAGGGAGCATATAGATATTGAAGAGGAGGGGACCAAGGACAGAGCCCAGATGAATGCTGCACAACACACTCTAGGGGCTAGAGGAGAAACCGTTTGTGGAGATGAAGTGGAGGTGGTGTTAGAGGTGTTCATGCCATAATGTCCACTAAGATGGAAAATAAGATGCTTTATAAGAAGGCTAGAAATGCAGAGGTAAGGATGTGAATGCTATGAATCTCAAAGAGTAAAACAGGTTAATATTTGGCTATATTTGGAAGGTAGCATCATCGCCTCTGAGTCACAAGGTTGTGAGTTCAAGCCTCACGTTGAATTTTAGCCTGGTAATAACAAATTATATTTGTACAACGCCTTTCACATTGGAGGACGTCCCAAGGATTCAAGGATTTGGACCCTAGCTGCGGGTTGGGATCAGGAGGGATGAAGGATGTGGATAGAAGGTTGACCAAATGTGTGTTTGAAGAGGAGGTCTTGAAGGAGGCAAGAGAGGGGGTGAGGCAAAGGGACTGTGTGATGGAGTTCCAAAGGGTGGGCTACAAAGGCTATAGTCCCCCAATGGTGGGGCATGCGGAGTGGAAGATATGGAGCTGGCCAGGGCCTGCTGAGCGCAGGGAGCTCTCCAGCATGAAGTATCCCACAAATAGCCATGAAGTGAATAAGCAATTTTATTTGGGATATTGTTGGCCAATGCACTCGAATAATGTCTAGGGAACTTTAACGTCCACCTAAAGAGGCAGACACTGGTTAAACATCTTATCCAAAGGATGTGTCAGCACCTCTGGTGATGCAATGCTCCCACAGCACCGCACTGACAACTTAGACTATGTCTATGTGACAAACTTCCAGTGTGGGGCTTTAGCCCACAGTCTTCTGACTCAGAAGTTAAAGTATGACCAACTGGGACAGACTGACACCTCATTTGTCTGGATGAATACCTAATCAATATAGATGTTCTGTCAAAACTTAAACAAACTTAATAAATTACCTGCAGGGTCTGCAAATACTTCACTGTTCTTCTCTGGAACTGGATGAAGTTTACTTCTTCCAATAATATTTGTTTTGCCATATGATAACTGTGCATTTCTATATTGAACAATGTTGAATTTTTAGGATCTGGTATATTCCCCATAGCTAAAAAAAACTGTTAAGAAGTTTGTGGACAAGCACAATATTACATTGCCAATATACGTATATATAAATATATAAAAATGTATAAATTTATTTACATTCAGATGGAGTTTAGTGTTGTATTTAATGTAAAGCAATTGCAAGTTTTAATATAAATTCTTAGAAATTCTATTTACATTACATCAGGGATGTCAGAGTCTTAATAATTTCCCTATAACAACATTAAACTTTATTAGTTGTGAGATTTTTGTGATTATAAAATGTTTTGCATTTCAAGATTTACATCCTCAATAATGATTATATAAATGTACATATAATCCTAACAACCAGAAAGGGTAATTTTCCACAACTTAACAGTTTTAGCCAGTTTTTATGATTTAGACCTACTGTTCAGAAACCTACCTTAATGGATGTTTACATAGAATTCCACCTGTAGTGCCTTTGTCAAGGCCTGCTTCACTGATCGTAATGAATGAAAAAGGTGGACTGTAGATCTCGCTGTATAATGGTTTTGACAGATTAACATAGATAATTAACAATCTTTAAAAAAGCTAACCTTGGATTGGTGACCAGCAGAATGCAGACATTGTTGGAGGCCAAAGGCTGACATGAAAGAGACTGACTTTTAAATGATCAGGTTTCAGATGGCACGTAGGAGTGCTGATCTTCCAAAGTCTTGGGGCATGGAGACCTAAGGTGGCCATGAAGTAAGGTAGTTTCGATGTTATGGTGTTTCAAAGTCTTTAACTGATTGCCTTTATTTACATCGGTATGCTCATCGACCATGCCATCTGGCTTTATCTGACCATTGTGGATCCCAGGTTTAGATGAACCTAACAGCCTATTAGCTATGTACATGTTTTAAGGATAAGGATTTCCTGTGTGTTCCCTCTGATATGTCCTAAGAAGTTAGAATGACCTCTGAGATTTAACTAAAACTTCACATCAAAGGTATATAAAAGGTTAGTTTATAATTTTGTATTTCACAGGATGATATTTGACACAACCATAGTTTTATAGACATACTTGAAAAATTGTGACTATTCATTGGGACAGCGGATCTATTTTTAAATTAAGAATACTTTTGTAAGGGTAAATATAGAGAGAATATTTCCACCGATTGGAGACTCAGTAAGACTAAGCATAAATTGAAGATTACTAGAAGAAGAAAAAAGTTAGAAAAAATTGCTTGTTACAGAGTGTTAGAAAATGCAATACCTTATATAATGTAACTTTGGTCAACATCTTCAATTTTTTTATTTTTTTCCTATTTGGTTTTTTTATTTATAGTTATTAATATGTAGAATTATTTATATATCATTATAGTTTGAGGCATTCTTTTAAATGTAAGGTGCTATATAAAGCCACCTATTGTTGCTTTCCCTTGTTAACACTGAAGTTGGGATCAAGAACTTGCTAATGAGAACCAACATCCAGTTGCACTATAAACAGGAGATTGTTACTGTAGCTCATTATCGTGTCCTTTGTTTACTACCTGTGTGTGTGGATGACACACAAATCTACTTCTGTGACTCCAGGTCCGCTGATGATCTGTCAGCTTGTCTGGCTGACATCAGGGTCTGGATGAGCGCAAACGTCTTACAACTAAATGTTGACGTTTGCATTCACCAAATATTTTTCTAATATTGCCACTGCTGTTGCATCAAGGTTATCTCTGCCTCCATAAACACTTTACTTGAAATTACTGAACTGCTTCTTGGTTCCATTTCAAATCAATGGAATGAGCCATCAGTGCATCTTTTAATTTCATTACTGATGGTAGAAGTAGATTTTAATGTAATATGTTGTATCCATTGTAACTGGAATAAGGCAAATGCAGTGAAACTCAGTATGTGTATTGTTCTAAGGTACTGGGTGACTTAAATCAATGCATTATGTTTTAAGCAAAATATACAGTCAATTCACTTTACAGTATATTCTGTGAAGCGCTTTGAGATGATAAGGCACTATATCAAATGCAAGGATTATTATTAAAACACTGTAATTTTCTCTGACCATAGGTAATCTGGAGATGGTGGAAAATCTCTCTTCGAAGTCAATTTCGAAATGTAAGACCTGGTGAACGGATGGACTCTCACAATGACTTCTTAGAAGATGAAAACCTACAAAGTATGAGAGAGTGTGTTAGGATAGATGATATTTGTTGGAATAAGTGTGATTAGTCTTGGATAGCATTGCACTTTTGGAGGAGGGGAAGAAGACCATAACAGAAGATTAATTAATAAGATTACTTAAATTGTAGTGCAGCTACGAAAGCCTGTTACTGTTTTTCAAAACTTCATATATTTATCCATATCAGGAAGACCATGTTACAGTATATCACCGCTTTAAGACTTCAATCTTCAAAGTTAACGCCACCCCTCCCTTCATGGTTGTTAGTTCAGCCATAATCTTGTAAAGAACAAAGTTAAGATCCCAAGTATGTGTTGAATGAAAGGCTTACATTTTTGGTGCATCTTGGAAACCACATAATGTTTGAAATGTTCTGTAATTTCAGGATAGTAACTTGCAATAGGCAGCCATAGGCGCATTCGAAGAGGCAGACAGGAAGGGCATAGTATCTGAAGGCTTGTCCACCGATAGTGGTGCAGAGAGGGCAGGGGTCACACAGCAAGCCTGAGATTGCTAAATGGAGGGAGCGAGCAGAGGAGTAGGGTAAGAGAAAATCAGAGAGTTAAGGACATGCTGGGATGTGCAGCAATTTGTAGGATTTATACTTTCTTAATTGTTCAATAGGCCATCAGAAATAAACGTTCAGATCTTTTGACTGAGACTAATGTCAATGTTTTTGTTTTTCGTGGTTTGATGGAGCTGAACAAAATTCTTATATCATTTTGGTATAATTTTATATGGGGAGGGTTAAAACCTGGAGAACTGGAGAAAAGGTTAAGTATATCACACCAAAATAAACTGCTGTCTTGTGGCAGGATTAAGAAAGATCACACCAAAATAGTAATCTAATAATTATGCTTTCCAGGCTTTGGACAGGTTTTCTGATCTGGGTACAATTGCTTTATTAGCAATGTGATGGGACAACCTATCTCATACAAGTGGGTCTCTATTTGACACTTTAAATTAAAGATTGACCTGTTCATGCCTAGGGCCCAGGAAGCTCATACAAAAAGGTAATCAAGTATTTAAAATTATATTTGTAAAACATGTACTGTTCATAAAATGGTACAGAAAAGCTGTTATAATTTACTATATTAGAAGCAGTTAAAAGATAATGAGTAGATTGGGAAGGGAGAAGGATGAACAGAAATTGTGTTCAATATTTTTATGTAACATTGTATTTTAAGTAATAAGTTAGAAGTATAAAGCAAATACTACAACAATAGCAATGCTCCTAGTATTTGAGTAATTCATTTCCTTTAATATTAATATTTTTGTTTGGTGCTGCAATGTGGGAACTAAAAGTATTGAAAAACAGTTGTTGTAAAACAGCTGGAATTCTCTGAACTCTCAACAGAATAAGAGTTAAACATTTTATGTATTTTTATGATACTGGAGTGCTGAATTGCCGCCTACAGGTTCCAGGTTGGATTTTTGACTGGAAGATGCGCTTCAGGTGAAGTAATGGCACTGTGTATTACCACGTGAACATAATTACACCATTAGAAATTACATTTCTAAACCTCCAAAGCACTCTTCCAATATTGTCAAATAGCGAGTGGCACTGATGTCAGTATCCAAAGACTAAAATAATGTTTACCTACACAATTTATAGTTTATAGTTATAAAGCACACTTCAAATATTTTGCATTGATTTATTTAGATATCTCATTAATTTGGGGAAAAAGAACAATCTACATCCTCTAGTAAAATCCAGAAATCCAAAGATTTCTCTTTCTGAACATTTGCTGAACCTAAATACATATCCGACAGCAATCAACAGCAATTTGAACTTCTGCATATTGGAATGTAAACAGGCACGATTGCAGCAGTTAAAGTACTGTATTCCTGAGACAGTTACAGAGGATTGACTCAATTCTGATATTCCATAGTCAAGCAGGTCACCTTGGACCCATCTCAGCCCCAAAGAGACTCCCCTTAATCCCCACCTCCTGACATAGTGAACACAGAGACAGACACTTCATGTTGCTAATCCAGCATCCAGTGCCACTCCTGTACCCCTGGAGAATTTTAGTTGTAGATTGCAGTACTACTCACATGACAACATCCTTAAATATTTGTGAGATGATAGTCCCTCATAATTTTTTTTGTACTTTTTCAAAAAAGATTTCTCAACTACTGTATTTGTAGGATTGCCAACACTTTTTGCTAAAGCATGAAATTTCTTTACCAAAACTGATGGCGTGCTTATTTATAACATTAGGATATTCAAACGGTTGTTTTGTACAGGAAACATTCCAGCGCATTCAGCCCATTGTCTTTCTGGTACTGCTATCTTTTTTTAAAAAAAATTATTCGTACTTTCAGCTGTTAATCTTGTTTCCTTTTAAATAATTCTATTATTCAACCTAAGTAGTCACCTGTGTTAATGAATCCCACATCCCGACAACCTTCTAAGTAAATACATGTCTTCTAAACTTTTCTCTGATTCCACTGCTGATGATCTTGAAACTATGCCCCCTTGTCACTGATTTCCCAACTAAAGAAAATTGTTTTTCCAGATCTACCCTGTCATACGAACCCTTCAAAATTTTAATTATATCCCTTCTCAATCTCCTCTAGTTCAACCCCAATTTAGCCAGCCTCTCTTTGTGTGTTTGGTGAACACAGAGTTATAACACTTTTGCCTACGAATAATTTAGAGAATCTGAAATGACTATTTCTAGATAATCATTCATTCCAACCATTGACAACACAATATGATTGCTTACAAGTATATAAATAGATGTAATTGGTGGTGTTCCTTTAGGGATCCATGTTAGAACCACTGCTGTTCTCCATTTGTACAAATTATCTGGATTCTGGTATAAAGGTCACATTTTCTCAGTTTGCAGGTGATATGTAGCTAACAATGCAAAAGATTGTAAACAACTTCAGGAGGACACAAATTTAATGCAAAAGATGTGAGGTTATACAATTTGAAAGGAAGCAGAGTATGAGTATGGAGCGACATAATAACATTTTAAAAAGAGTACAACACTGAAAGACCTAGTATTTAACGTATATAAATCTTTAAAGATGGAAAGGTGGATGAACTAAAGCTGTACAGTAATTAATGGGATCCTAAGTTTTATAAATATGGGTATAGAAAACCAAAGAGTCTTAATTTCTTTGTTCAGACTCTAGCCTGCAGTTTGAGTATTATATCCAGTTTTGGTTACTCCACTTTAGGAAGAAGGGCCATAGAGAGGTGCCAAGAATTAAAAAGCCAGAACTAACAAAATGGACCGAATAAACTTCTATGCTGTATATTTCTATGGTTCTATCTGTTCTGGTATCTGAATTGCACTTTAGTTATATTGGAAGATCACAAATCCATATTTTGCAAAAGATTAAAAGTTACAACACAGTTGTGATAGTATTATGTTTCTAAACATAAGAACATAAGAATTAGGAGCAGGAGTAGACCATTCGGTCCCTCGAGCCTGCCCCGCCATTCGATAAGATCATGGCTGATCTCCAGACCTAACTCTAATTGCCTGCCCTATCCCCATATCCCCTAATCCCTCTGTTTTTTAAAAAAATCTATCAGTCTCTGCTTTGAAGATGTTCAAGGACTGAGCATCTACAGTCTTCTGGGGTAGTGAATTAAATTCACTACCCTCTGAGTGAAGAAATGTTTCCTTAACTCTGTTCTAAAAGGCTGACCCTTAATTTTAAGACTGTGACCCCTGGTTATAGATTCTCCTACCAGGGGAAACAGACCCTCAGTGTCTACTTTATCCAGCCCTTTAAGAATCTTATATGTTTCAATAAGATCTCCCCTAATTCTTCTGTACTCTAGAGAATATAGCCATATCCTCATAGGTCAGTCCCCTCATCCCAAGAACTAACCTAGTGAATCGACGCTGCACCCCCTCTAGGGCAAGTATGTCCTTTTTTAAATAAGGAGACCAAAACTGCACACAATACTCTAGATGCAGTCTCACCAAGGCCCTATACAGTTGCAGCAAGACTTCCCTGCTCTTGTACACCCACATATCTTTTCTATTCCTCAGAGGATTGAGTTCAAAATCCTCGTCTTTTTAAAGCCCTCCACGGTCTTACCCCGCCCTACCTCTGTGACCTTACCTTCTAAAATCCGCTGCTCCCTCCTCTCGGCAGGAACTAACCTGCTTCAAGTTCCCCACCCATTGAGCCAGTTGGGCCTTTAGGCTTTCAGCCCCAACTCTATGGAATTCTATTCCAGAGCCCCTTTCACCTCTTCCCTCGCCTCCTTCAAGGTCTGTCTCAAGACCCTCCTCTTTGCCTTTGGTAATCTTCCCACCCCCATCCCTCTGAAATCCATCCCCCAGCTTGGATGCAAAACTTCAACTGTCCAGCACCTTGGAACATCTTCCTGATCCTCACATACAAAGCCCTCCATAGCCTTGCCCCACCCTACCTCTGTGACCTCCTAACCCCCTACCAACCCGCCCGTTCCCTCCGCTCAGTTGGCTCTGGCCTGCTCCACGTCCCCTGACCCATCCACCTCACCATTGGCGGGAGAGCCTTTAGCCACTCTGCCCCCAACCTCTGGAATTCCATTCCCCCAGTCATTCCGCCTCGCCCTCTCCTTAGCCTTCTTCAAGTCCCGCCTCAAACACTCCTCTTCCCCTCCCTTCCCCCCCCCCCCCCCCCCCCCCGCAACCCCTGCTCGGGTCTGAAATGCTGTACTCTGTCCAGCGCCTTGGGACATCCTCCCGACATGAAAGGCACTATACAAATGTAATCATGTTGTTGTTGTTGATGTGAAAGGTGCTATATAAATACAATTTAATTGTTGTTGTTTTAAATTTTAGGCATAGTTGGTATCATTTTTGGCAAAGGGATCCTCAAATACATTTGTAACCTATGCAGACATGAGTTTGATTATCTTGAACGCCTTCCTGATCCCTTACTGCTGTACACAATTTCATATTTGGAGTTGGAGGACCTGTGTGCACTTTCTCAAACATCTAAAAAAATGAAAAAGGTAAGAATAAATTTGGTTATTTTGCTAGAATTGTTGGAATTAGGTTTAAATTGATTTTTCCTTTTTTGTATTTGCAAACGGGTGAAACGAAGGAAAAATTTCAAATGATCCAATTCCATATGTTGTTCTAAACAGAAATAGCTGTAAAATTAATGCTGAATTTTTGATATCCCAAGTTTTCAATGTTATAAATTTCCATTTGTAGATTAACATTAAAGTCAGTCCACGTACTTCCTGGTGCGTCATTGTATCCACCCATCAATGGTTTTAGTGGACTTAACAACTGCCAGCATTTAGTACATGTACACAGCATGTTGGTTTATGTGTGGTTTATTTGGCATCCTACCGTCTGCTGTCAAAAGACAAAAACATAATTCCTAGTTATCTAGGAGTTAGAAGGTTAAGAAAGTTTCCACCTTGCCAAGGCACTGAGACAGGCCTCATCAGAACAACATGTTTTCTCACTGCGATCAGAGCTCTATCTGCCTCCTCGATCTCTGTTGCCTTTGATACTGTCGACCATTCTTTCCTTCTTGATCACCTCTCCTTCACCTCTGTGTCACCACATTTTTCTGGTTCTGATCCTATCACCTTAATTTCTTCTCATGGCTTCTACTTTTGCCCTCGACCAGTCATCTACGGTGTACCTCAGTTTCTTTCCTCACTCCTTCCTTTTCATCATCTGGTTGCTTGCTCCTCTTTGTTGTCATCACTTGCAAATATTTGCATCATCATCATTTGCATTTTTCCATACTTTCATGGATGATGCCCAAATGTTGCTCTACTTCTACCTTTGATTCCACACAATCCGGAACCTTGGCGTGTTGTTTGACTCTCAACTATCCGTTCTATCCCACATTCGTGCCATGACCCGCTCTGCCTTCCCCCACCTCCGCCACTGGCTGACACCGCAAGCCACCGAAACACTCTTACACGCATTCATAACATCGAGGCTTGACTATGCAAACTCCCTGCTTATTGGCTTCCTCAACTCCTCCCTCCATAGGCTGCAGATCATCCAGAACTCTGCAGCCCATGTCCTCTGCGGCACTGGGCTCTGTGACCCTATCACCCCCATCCTCGTCTGACTCACTAGTTTCCCATCACACAGAGCATATAGTTCTCAACTTCAAAGCCCTCCATGGCCTTGCTCCCCCCCTACCTCTGCGACCTCCTTACCCCCTACCACCCTGCCCGCTCCCTCCGCTCAGCAGACTCTGGCCTGTTTCACATCCCCCACCTCACTCGCCCCACCATTGGCTGGGGAGCCTTCTGCCATTCTGCCCCCACCCTCTGGAACTCAAACCTGCAGTCCCTCCGCCTCACCCTATCCCTTGCCTCCTTCAAAACCCATCTTAAGACCATCCTTTCGACTGTATTTTTGATCACCCTGCTTCCCCCCCCTCCACCCTCCCCAATGCCGACCCTCAGCTCTGGTCTGAAACACTGACTATCTAGCGCCTTGCGACGTCCTCCCAACGTGAAAAGCACTATACAAATGGAATTTTGTTGTTGTTGTTGATTGATATTCTGAGTGACTGCTTATGAAGCCCTGGGTGACCCTCAACTTTTTTCAGCTAAACATGAACAAGATGTAAGCCTCCCAATTCAGCTGGTGCTAATGCCTTCTCACTTCCAGCTTTCACTTACACAACCTTCTTGGCCATGCTCTCTCAAACTTACAGAACCAGTGTGCAACCTTGGCATTTAGTTCAATCTTCAAATCCCTTTCCTCACTCATAAATGGTTATCACCAGATTCCCTTTCTACATCACCACATAACCTCCGTCCTAATTTCGCACCCAAACCTGCCAAAGCCCTCATTCACACTTTTGTCACCTGAAGACTTGATTTGTTCCCCACCCCCCCCATCCCACCAGCTTCACAATCTACAAACTCCAGATCATCCAAACCTCTGCTGCCCGTATCCTTACTCAAACAAAGCTTTGCATGCCCATCATCCCTGTCTCACTTGTCCTTGTGTCCCAGTGGATTGATTTCAAGTTCCTTACTTCAAAATCCCTCAACTCGAAATCAACCCCTTATCTGTATTTTTCTCCCACCTCATCCTGCTGTGTGTTCCTCTGCCACTATGCCCCAACCTCTGGAAATCCTTTCCCCTATGGCTCCATCTTGCTCCCTCTCTATTTGTTTTCAAAAGCCTCCTAAAAACCTACCTCTTAGACCAGGGGTGGGCAAAAGGCAGCCCACGGGCCATATCCGGCCTGCCAAATGATTCTATCCGGCTAGCAATAGAAAAAGTGATACTTCGTTCAGTCCCAGAAAGTTGTACAAATTTTGCATTTGAATCTGACCAGGAAAATCAACCAAATTGCCTACTGTGCGGACGTGTTGAATCAGGTTGACATCAGAAATGTACGGATCAGCAAATTTTCAAACCCAGGCAGCAACCGCAGCAATACTTTTCACTGAAGAGGACGTTAATTTGAAATGAGTTTATCAAAGAAGAGGAAACTGGACAAAGAATGGACTTCTAAATTTTTTTTACCAGTGTGGGTGAAAATAAAACAAATAAATAAAAATAAATTAAAAAATGAAATACAGAAAGAAAATAAAAACAGTGTACAGTTACAAAATAAAGTAAGCAATTTTGCAAGTTTTCAAGAATTCAAGATCAAGTCAAAGAAACAAATCCAGAACAGAATCTTGTTTTTCTGCACTGCATTATTCACCAAGAAGTCCTCTGTAAGAGTGTTCTAAAACTAAGCAATGTCGTGGACACAGTTACGAAAGTGGTCAACTACATTCAAGCAAGAGGATTAAACCACAGGCAATTTGCAACTCTGCTTGAGCAATTGGAATCCGAGCACACGGATGTTCTATATCACACGAATGTAAGATGGCTTAGTTTAGGAAAGAGTGTGGGAACTGAGAGCAGGGATTGATTTATTTTGGGGCATAAAACAAAAAGATTTGTATTTCCCACAGCAGAATGATGCGAATTGGCTCTCTGATTTTGCATTTGCCATTGATGGGCCATATGAATGAACTGAATTCAAAACTGCGACGGAAGGGGGCCTTTGTGCATGATTTGTATTGCAGTGTCAAGTCATTTTTGACAAAATTATTTCTTTTATCGTGTCAGATAGGAAACAGGCTGTTCGCCCACTTTCAAACTTTACAGCAGATTACTGTTTGCAATCAAAGCCTTAAAAAGTATACTTTATCACTACTTGACTTACATGTTGAATTTTCTCGTCGATTCCAGGATTTCAATTTGATCGAAAATGACCTTTGGTCTCTTTACCTTTCTCATTTGATGTTGACAAAGCCCTATTTGACTGCCAACTCAAGCTTATTGACCTGCAATGTGATCCATTGCTTGCGGAGCAATTCAGATCAGTGCAGCTTCCCAGTTTTTACGCCTCTCTTAATGTATATACCTTTACAAAAATAAAGGCTCATGCCCAGAGGATGCTTGTGCTGTTTGGATCAACATAAATATGCGACGAAACATTTTCTGTGATGAAATTCAATAAATCAAAACATAGATATGTGATGACTGGTGACCACCTTGCAGCAGTACTCCGCATTGCAACAACAGACGATGCCTGACTTCAATTGTCTGGTTAACGCACATCAGCATTTCATTCTTCCCATTGAGTGAGCTTCTCACATTCTCATCAATATGTAAATATTGAATAAATGTCTGCTCAATGAGTTTTTATTTAACTTAATTTTGTAATGTAAATTATATAGATTTTATGTTATACATGTATAAGTTTATGACTTGATTTTGAGCTATTATTAAGTATTTGTATCTATATTAAGTGTGTGGCCCACGAAGCTTATCAAAACCTGTGAAGTGTCCCGCCAGCCAAAATAATTGCCCACCCCGTTTTAGACCATGTCTTCCATCACTTATCTTCTTGACATCCTGAAAGTCTCCGTGAGAAGCACTTGTGACAAAATTAACTATAGCAAGTGCTTTTGTTGAGTTGCAAATCTTTTTGAAAAGAATACATGGATGACTTAGCACATGGGACTTTGCAGTATTGCCCTTTCACTTCAGGACTGGTTTTGATTGTTTCCAGTCCAATTGCACGATAGCCTTCTTTCTCTGTTGTCTCTAAGACCCTAACTGAAAGAGATTTGAGCAGCATCAGCTCAGTTCTGAGTGGGGTACCACAGGCTCACAGTGCACAAGTGCCCAAAGTTCCACTAAATTGCAAATCTCACTTACCCTGATTTATGTGGGGAACAGAAACATTGACAGTGGTGGTACATGAAGTTAGGAATGTTTGTCTGAGATTAGGATTATAGGTCATATTGTTGAAAGACTGGAAAGAACTTTACTCCTCATGGGGGAAGGGGATTAACGCAAGCACTCATTACTCAAACTGGAAAATATGTTCCATTCTTCAGCCCAAACAAAGCTGTCCTTGATCAGAATGAAACCTAAATTACATTTTAACAATCATGTAACGAGGATAAATGGCTCCTAAATGTTGTCTCAGCTGCTCAATATACCAGTAGAGGGTGCTATTGAACTATGTCCCATTGCATTACAATCAGGTAATGGATGAGAATGCAGTATAAATAGGCTGCTGCAGTGTCTGGGGGAATGGGGCCTGCACACCACAAATTAGTCAGGATTGAAGCAAATTGCTTCCTTCAAGGCCCATCTCAAAACTTTCCTCTTTGACCGTATCATCCGGTCGTCCTTCATCATCCCACCCTGCACCCCTTGCAATCCACCCCTCTTGATTCCAGCCTCCAGCTCGGTGCAAACCATTCACTGTCCAGCACCTTGAGATGAACATGAAAGGCGCTGTATAAATGCAGTTTGTTGTTGTTTACTATAATTCCTGTGAAGTGCTTTGCAATGTCCTCCTGAAGTGAAAGGTGTTTTATCAAGTGCAAGGACTATTTTTATTATTTATGATATTTAATTTGCAACAGACATTACAAATATTGTTTAAAATCAAATTAAAAATAAAATAGCAGAAGATAAGTCAATGTTTTAAAGGCATTTAAGGGAAGCATATCCCAATGAGGAAAAACCTACCAAAAACATGGCCAAATAAGGAGAAGAAAAATAATTTGAAGGCCAAGTAGAAATACTTTGGAAAGATGCAAGTCGGCCTAACTTGGAGATATAGAAAAGTCAGATTAGAAAAGCTAAAGTAAAGAAGAGGGAATTTGGCAAAATTTCGGGATCCAAAGAAAAAAAAGCTATCTATGTATATTGTAGATGGAATGTTAAACATCACATAGATGATAAAGAAATAGCAGAGGTGCTCAATTATTTATTCATACCAGTTGTTGCAAAGAAGACAGCAGTCTAGTTCCAGAACTGGGTAGAGGTCAATGAAACGTGAAATCAAAATCTCATATTAAATGTGTTAAATGTGAACCTAACATGGTGATAGGTTACCTTAAAGTCCTCAAGTGATTTGTCCCATTGAGGCTGTTAACCATTTTATTAGTCACTGGCAGCTCTTTATTTTTTGTAAGCCTTTGTCCTTATCGCTAAATACCCTTCTCAAGTACCTCTGTCTCCACTTCACTTCAGTTGATTCTAAATTATAGTTTTCAGGGCCAGGGCATTGCACGTTCTCACAGCTTTTTCGTGAAGAAATGTTTTCTGGGTTAACTTTAATCTTGCAGCTGTAATTTTAAGAATATGTACCTTTGTTCTGGATTCCCTTACAGGTGGAAAAAATTTGTTCCGTATCTACCTTGCAATTCTCATTATTATCTTAATGTCCTCCATTCGGATGAGACCAAAGATCCTGAAAAGAGAAGGGAGTTTCTCCTGGTAACCTCGCCAACAATACCCCATATAAAAATTGGTAATTCGCTTCACAGCTGTTTGTGGGACATTGTTGTGCACAACTGTGCTTCTATGTTTGCCTACAAATAAGCAGTCACTCCATTTCACAGTAAAACCTGTGAAGTGCTTCGAGAGTCCTTCTGACGTGATAAGGCTCTATACCAATGCAAGGTTTATTATTACTAATAATTGTTTACCTCTTAATCTCCTCTGCCCTATGGAATGCAACTCAAGTTTAATCAGCTTCTTATAACTATGTCACTTCGGCCTGGATGTCATCCACCTGGTAAATAAATGCAAGACATACTGCAAGACCAGTTTAAATTTGGATGTAAAACTCACCAGATGCTCCAGAAGAGTTTTGACCAATACATGGAGCAAGAAGTCTGACCAATAATTGTATAATTGTGATGAATCCTAGAAGTTGCTTTTGATTGCATTTGTACCTGTAAACTAAAGTGCCTGGACTCCAAAATCACTTAGTGCTTTTAATTCCCCCTTGTGGTTACCCATTTCTTTCAATCAGAAAACTTAATTTGAATTGAGTCTGCTATGGTAGGCTTAGGAAGTCGATATGTTAAAGCTATCCTTCATTCATCAAAGTACAGTTAGTTCTAGGAATTCATTGGCTTGAAATAAGATTGTAGAGTAAGTAGATGACCATTGTTCTGTACCTCGAATGCGCATGTCTCTATTAGACTGATGCCATTACATAGCAATTCAAGTGCAAAACAAAATCTTAATAACCTGCAATTATTTGTTGCAATAGAGCCCAAGCCACATGTTCATTTACTGTAAAGTTCTTTTGTGACGTTGCTGAGGTGAAAAAAGTGCAGACTTTTTAAGTATTTTGTTTCATATGCTGCAAGTTTGTTGTAGAAAAAATAATCTTTAATTCAGTTTTATTCATCAGAATGACTTTTTTAAAAGAGATTATGTGGACATTTGTCAGCTTTGACGTTGTTTTATTTACACCTTCTCTCCACACACCGTTGTTTAAAAAATAATCTCTGTTTCAGCGTGGTATATTCCCTGACTAAGACAGTGCCCTAGATTAAATCCTACCAGGTCTCTGCCACTTTCCCTACTTAAGATGACTGCTAGATAGTGCATTAGAACAGCTTTGGGTGAATTTTTCTTTGCAATTCCTGTGTGTGTGATTTTGGCTTCTGCTTTGTTACGAAATTAGATTGGTGAGGATCTGAAACCTAGTTTCTCTCTTGGAAGCACTTCACTGGAGAGACAATCTTTGTAATCTAGAAGAAAAATATTGCTGAAATAATATGTCAACGTCACACAATTCCTAATCCTTTTCCTCGCAGAAAAAAATATCCTTTATTTATAGGATTTGATTGAAAACAAATTGCTGCTCCACTGATCTGCAATTGGTTGCCAACAAGTAAAAATAGAGCTGCTAGGCAAGACTTTCCCTATCCTCTATGTATAGATCTGTCACAAATCATGACGTGTTTGGAAGAGACACTTGGGAGAATTGGAGATTTCTGACCTTTTCTGTTTTATTGAATGACCTTGTATTTGACTGGTTGTCACTCTGATATAAACAGGAGAGTATTTTTTTCTCATCTGTCTCTCTCTATATATCTCTCTGTAGCTGTGCAACTCCAATGATATCTGGGAAGATATTGTTCTACAGCACTGTGACACCATCACTCCAGAGATGCGAGCGTTAGCAATTGAGATTGGTTGGAAGGAGATTTTCTTCACCAGCAAACTTCAGCTGCAGAAGCAGATTCAACGAAAACGACAAAAATTCAAGGCCATTTTAAACAATATGATTTAAGAACTAACGTCAGACTTCTGGACCTACCGTTGCAAGCAAGGCTCTTGCTGATACAAAACCATTGTAGATCTAGCATCAATATGTGTTCTTGTTCAATTTCGTCAAATAGCCACGGAATAGCCTGTGCGCTTTCAAATGGACAAGTGATGCGGGTTCTAGTGCCAATCGCAAGGTTACTGTTCCTGGCAATATAGCAAAGACTTGGAGCAGGAAGTCTGATTTATATTGCATGGTATAGGTTGCTTTCAAGTGGGCAAGGTAAAGAAAAACGTTCGATTTTAGTGTGTTAAGTACACCAGAAATTGTGTGTTGCTATTTTATTGTCATTGAAGCGCAGGTCACACAGCTGGTTCTTGAGTCCCAGTTCATACAGCATATTGGGTGCCAAATCACTACTTACCTTAAGCTGATTCATCACCATAGACTAAATAACTTGAATGTGAAATAAGTGTCTCAATTCAATAATTTAGGTTAATCATTATTGTTTTGTACAGAATTTAAAAAGGGAACCAGATTGGTGCCAATATTCTTGAGATTTTCTGACAAGTAAACTACTGGTATGGAAAAAGGACTGGTTGAAAGATAGAAGGCAGACCATAGGAGGGAAATGGATGATTCTCAGTTTGGTTTTGTGACGTTACTGGCATTCCCTGGAGTTCAAGGCTGGGAATTCTATTTTTTTTCCCCATTGTAGATAGAAAAAAATTGAGTGATTTAATCCAATGATTTAGCAATATCTAAGTTTGCTGGCAATACCAAATTAGAGTGTGTGACAAAACTGAGAAAGAATACAGTAAAGCCTACCTTTATAAATTGTATAATTGTCTATGTTGTACATTCACCTCTGAGTCCCATTCAGTTTCCTATCAAAACTACTTTGATTTCTTTGTATTACTCGTATTATTCACCTCCTAACTCCGCTCCCCTACCCTCCATTGGTCCTGCGCATAGTATATTTGTACTAGAGTGTGAAGCTTTAAGATGTCTCAACAACGTGATAAAGTACTATATCAAATGTAAGGATTATTATTATTGCCTCAAACTTCATTTTTCTTAAAATTCAGCATGCAGCAGAACTCAGAGCTCCAGTAAACATCAAAATTCTAAATCTACTTGCATTTATAAAACAAGCTGATTTTAAACCATTGCCATATCAACCTCTCCGTTCAGCAGGTTCCAGCCTGCTCCATGTCCCCCGCCCGGCCTGCTCCATGTTCCCCGCCCAGCCAGCCCCACCATTGGCAGTCAGACCTTCTGCCTCTCTGCTCCAACCCTTTGGAACTCCATTGCACAGTCCCTTTTCCTTGCTCCCTCCCTTGCCTCCTTTTAGGCGGGTCTCAAGACCCTCCTCTTCAACCACACCTTCGGCCACCTTCCTCCCCCTACCCTCACTGCCCTCCTGATCCCAACCCCCTGCTTGAGTCCAAATCCTTGACTGTCTAGCGCCTTGGGACGTTCTCCCGATGTGAAAGGCTCTACACAAATGTAATTTGTTGTTCTTTTATATTTCCACTTTGGGCTCCACAACTCTCCCAGTTATAATACCATTGTAATACACACTAAGGAAATCAGAAACATTCACAGGCCAAATGTTCCAGATTGCTGTGCACAATCTGGCTGCTGCATTTGCCTACAAAATACACAGTCTTTAAACTTATGTGTACATTAATATAGTTCGATCAACCTTTGATTCAGAGCCCTGTTATCTTGAGCAGTTCATATTGTATGATTTTATTTGGGAGGTGGGGGTCTATTTTCTTTTTCTTCTTTCCCCCCACCACCATTTCTGCCACCCTTTGATCACTTCATTGGAAACTGGTTAAATGTTGGAAACAAATTCTACAGGGTTTTGAGATTAAATATCTCAATCCCACATGGTGCCTCTTTAGTCAGGCAACTAAGAGCTCATGAAATCAGCCTAACCAAGATGAGCAACAGGGCAGCCCTGAAACCTGAACAAGCAAGCTATTAGTTAGAAATCAAGCTCTCGGTCATCCAAGTCTCAAATCTTGATGATAGAACAAGCTCAATTTCCCAAAAGCTTTTCCTAATTTTATTCTGCGGTTTAATGGTTTGATTTTTATGCTAATTTTACTCTCTTTTTCAATGTCAGTTACCCGTGCGACATCCGACACAGCAATACAATTGAAAAGGAATGATCCTTTTAAATTTCACAGCAGTAAATCTCTCCCTCTGGGGCAGGAAACAACTTCCCGTGAGCAAGTTACTTTCTATCATGAGTTTTTTGTTTCGTAAAACGGCAGTTTCCTATGAGTTGGAAATCCGATGCAGCAAACCTGGTTTTTACCAATATCAGCACTCTTCAGCACGTGCAGGCAACATTCAATATGATAAATAACTGTGCAGAATCATATTGACCCTATTATCTTAAAGCAGGTGGAGAACAAATGAGTGAGGTAATAAAATTTGGAATACTTACCTCGTGTGGATCTCCTCATTTTTTTCTATTGAAATTGATTCTCTACAAACAGTTTTCATTTCTGATACACTTTATCTGATTCGTAGTGGATATTATTGTTCATGTTCCTTGCTGTGGTCTAAGGTACAGGCTCCCTCTGTAAAAGGAATTGTATTTCTTTAGAAGGTAAACCAGAAACTGAACAGGAGGGGCAGCTAAGGCCAGAACTGTTCTGAACATGAATATGTGCCTCAACTCAGCTCCGAAACCCAGTGACCGTAATAATGTGTGCAGCAGGGTAAGCATTGCCTGTATACTGCAGGGCATCTCTGCGTTGTAAACTATCAACTGCTATTGAAAATTCTGACCTGACCTAAATAAGACTGGACAATGTTTGAATCCTTGTTCTCTTTTTAATACGAGGAGGCAGCGTGACGGTGCACACATCACCAACTGAAAGGTCGTTGGTTCAATTCCTGATTTCCCATTAAAATGAGTGCGTTCTTTGATTGGTCCACCAAATGGCAAGATGAAGTGAGGTTGATCTGAGAGTCATGGGTGCCCTCCTAGTACAGATTATAGAGTGGATTTGGTAGTCGTCTGTTATCCCCTTGCAAGAAATGGTGTGTTCTTCAGTGAAAATATATATAATAATAATCCTTGCATTTGATATAGCACCTTATCACCTCTTCGAGATATCTCAAAGCGCTTCACAAAACACAATACATAGCCACAAAGTCCAATGGTGGAATATACTCCCTCTATTTCCCCATTTGAGCATTGATGCCATAAATGCAATGCATATTTAGGAATGTAGAAATTGCTCGACAAAAAAAGACCAAGGTCCATCTAGCCTGCCTTCTACCATCCTGATAGTCGTATGCTACAGTATTGGAGACGTTGATAGCAATTACATGTTTTTGTTGACTTTGCTAGTCTTGCAAGGATGGTAAAACAACCAAATTGAAGCATTACAGAAAGCAAAATATTTTCAACAAACGAATAGGACGATACATTTATGTGACCTGAAATTCTAATTTTAAAGAAGTCAATAAATAATGGCTTTATCAAGGAAAAGACTATAAGCCAACTTTTTTTAAAAAAATGAACAGATAATAAAACTGTATTGTACATGTCATCAAAAATACGGTGGTAGGGTGAAAATGCGATCCTCTAATTGTTAATTACATTTCCACCAGTTTGTGAATATCGGTGTATGAGATGTGCATTGTGGAAAATTGGAAAGCGGAACCTAGGAAAGCCTGAAAATACGCAGATACCATTAATGTTCAAAAATTGTATATCTCAATTAATTTTGTGAATCCAGTTCATAAGTAATGTATTTTTAACTGGAATGTGATTGTGCACCTCGATTTATAGATAAGATGCAGGAAAATAATAACATCTTTGCTATTAAGAAGATCAGTCAAACACAATCATTTACCCCATACATTTGTGGTTTATTGTCTGATTTATCAAAGTAGCATAATTGTCCTTACAACCACTTACATTCATACAGTGTCACTCACGCAGGGTAACGTTCCAGCGTGCTTAAATACAATTTAAATGTAAAAGCAAATCCAGAAAGTTGTAGTAGCATCATAGGAATTTAATATGGGGAGCATTTTTTTTGAACCATAGAGGTTTATGGCACAGAAGGCCGTTCAGCCCATCGTGTACATGCCAGCTCCCTCAAGAGCAATCGTTTCAAGTCCCATTTACTTGCTGTTTCCCTAAACCTCTGCAGCTGACTCATTAAGGTATCAATCTAGTTCCCTCTTGAAGGCTAATATGGACTCCCGACAGGGCATTCCATATCCTGAACCCCCCATCCCATTTGCTCATTTACTAACTATCTAAAATTGATGCAATATAGCTCCTGCCTCAATGATCAATGGGAATAATTTCTCCCCAATTGACCTCCAAAACCTCTCATAATTTTAAAAACCTCAATCAGGTCTCAATCTTCTTTGTGCCAGCAGAAAATGTCCTAGTTCTTCCCCTCTCTGCTCATAGGCCAAACCACTCATCCCCAGTATCATTCTAATAATTTTCTACATTCCCTCTAACACCTTGATGTCTTACTTGAAGTGGGATGACTTATACTGGACTAATATTGTGGTCTAACTAACAATTTACATCAGCTTCGCATTACCTCTTTATCTTTATATGCTACACCCTATTTATAAAACCTTAGATTCCATTTTATTTGGCAGCTTTGTCCACCTGTCGTTCAACCTTTAAAGATTTATGTTTATTAACGCCCCAAGTCCCTCTGTTCTTCCACTTTTTAAAATATTTTACCACCCAACATATACTTGTTCTTATTCTTCCTCCCAAAATGTATAACCTCACATTTGCCCATGTTAAATTTAACTTGCAATTTTCTCTGCCCAATAAATGAATCTGCCTATGTCCCCTGAAGTTGCTCACAATGCTCTTCATTGTTAGCTACATGCCGTTTTTGTATCATCTGCAAACTTAGAAATTGTACCCCTGATAATTTACATCAAATAGAGAAAGGCAGTGGTCCTAACCACTGACCCCTGGAGGACACCACTGTTTACATCTCTCCATTGTGAAGAACAATCATGTACTCCCACCCTCTGCTTCTGTAACAAACTTTCTATCCACACCTTTCCATTAATACCGTGTAATCTCATTTTTTAAACAAAGCTCCTATAGAGCACCTTATCAAAAACTTTCTGAAAGTCCATATACTGTATACATATAATATACCACATCCACAGCATTACCTCCACCTATTTTATCGTTTACTTTGTTAAAAAAGAAAACATTAGATTTGTCAGCTGAGACTTGATTTGAACAAATCAACTCTTTGACTCTCTTTAATCAACCCATATCTTTCCAAGTGGTTATTAATATTATCCCATTTTAAAATAACATTCCATATTTAAAAAAAATGATAAAAATGCACCATCACTTTTGACTAACCAACCTCACAATTTATAATATCACAAAACCCTAGAACAATTGAGTGCATGAAACATCATCTTTTCTATTGCATTTAAATTGATTTATTTGTATTGCAAAGGCAAATGACTACTCACTTTGCCTGTTGCTGATTTTTCTCTGTTATTTAAAACCAAATCAATCTTCTCAATTCTTGGGCACCTCCTAGTAAATGGTGATACAGTGGTATTGCAAAAGTGCAGATCACACGCTGACCATCTCAGTTGGGAATTGTGATTCTGGTAGCGAGGGGAGGTTGGGGGAGGGGGGTAAACCTGAATTTTCCCTAACCTGAGCCATCCCTAATCCCTAACACGGTTACACAGCTAAGATTAGAACATTGAGACCATTTCAAATAATTGCTTAAGAAAATTGTGGTATATTGGCTAAGGATACAGTGAGGCTTGATTGTGATTCTTCTCTTGGTTGAACATGCCAACACTCACTATGTATCCTCACACAGGAGGGATATCCTCTTGGTGAAGTGCTTGAAATAGTGGTTGTGGAACTTATACCCCAACACAAACCAACACCATTGAGAGTGAAAGGGAGAAAAAGTGAAACTAAAGCTACTTTGAAGAAATAGCACTCCTACACTAGTGAGAGGACAAATAACCTGCTGGAGTTCTCATTCCTGTATGCATAGTGGGTGAGGAAAGAAACAGACATCAGCTAAGGTGCCCAAGACACTCAATCAGATAAAGCATCAGAGCTAGAAGGCAATGGACCCTTCGCAAGAAAAGGAAAAGAACAAAATTGCCACCCAAAACATAAGTACCTAAAAATGACAATGTTAAATTCTATAAATGCATAAATAAAAGCATGATTAAATAAGATGAAAATATTGCCTCTTTGGCGCAATATAATTTGAGTCAATTGCATGCAAAAATTTAAAAACTTTTTGGAGAGTTGCCAAAAATTGTTCTATTGGTGAAAAACGAAGCTCACTTTCTCACAATTACTACATCAGGCTTCAGAAGTTTCTTGCTCTTTCCTTTTTTTCAGGGATTTCCTTCAATGGGACACAGTATTTCACCAGCAGGCAGGCTATCCCAACCATGTAGAGGAAGCCACACACATAAAAAGAGTAGTCATACTTGTTTGTTAAGTCAAAGATCCAGCCTGCATAACAAAGAGAGTACTAAATTAAGAGCAATATCTTTTATATGGTGGACGTTTCAAGTTATTCTGCAATTCAGGTGAATAATTTAGAGAATGCACTAAGAGGATGTTGCAGCAGTCCCTTTATAATGTATGCAGACAATTTATCACCAATCAACTGTATATAACTTCCTGAGAGCTTTGCAATACTCACATCAAAGGCTTTGATGTTCTTGTGTGAATGTTGGCACATATCAAAGAGACACAGATAAAATCTCTCCATGAACAACAATTATAAACTCACTCACAATATTTCTCTACCAAACCCAATTCAAGTTACTGATTGATTGCATAGGAATAAATAGTTCTTGCATTTGAAATAGCACCTTTCATCGTCAGGAGGATGTCTCAAAGCGCTTCATAGGATTTATTGCAAAGTGTATTTTGTAGGTGAAATGAAGCAACCAATTTTGCCACAGCAATGTCTCACAAAAAGCCATGAAGTGAATGACCAATTTTGAACACCCTTATTTTTTCAAATAGTGCTTGGGATTTTTAATGTCCACCTGAACAGGCAAACATGACCTCCGTTAAATGCTGCTGAAGGACAGGACCTCCAACAATGCAGCACTCTCTCATCACTGCACTGGAGTATCAGCCTGGACTATGTGAATTCAAAATCCCGATGTAGGGATTAATTCCAAAAACCTTCTGACTCTGAGACGAAAGCGCTACCAACCGAGTCAGACTGACAAATAACATGTGTCCAGTTCACTTCATTCAAGCTGTTTCAGGTGGCAACGTCAACGTCTAAAATCTCACGGCTATCACCTCCTCCACCTAACCGACCTCCCCCTAAAACTCTTCGAACCCGTACGCAACTTAGGCGTCAGGTTCGACCCCCAATTATCCTTCCTCCCCTGCATCCGATCCCTCACCAGCACCGCTTCCTTCCACCTCCGAAGCATCGCCCATCTCTGCCAATACCTCTCCCCAAAAACCGCTGAAACCCTGGTCCATGTCTTTGTCACCTCCCGGCTGGACTACTCTGACGCCCTTCTCACTGGTCTCCCATCCACTACCATCCATAAAATCCAAATCATTCAGAACTCTGCTGCCCGCATTCTCACCCGCACCAAACTCCGCTCCCCGATTACCTCAGTCCTTGCCAGACTGCACTGGCTGCCTATCCCAGAGAGGATCGACTTCAAGTTCCTCACCCTTATATTCAAGTCCCTGCACTCCTCTGTACCCCTCTACCTCTCTGATCTCCTCAAAACAGTACTCGTTGCCTTCGTTCCTCCGGGTCTGGCCTCCTCCTCATCCCCTGAGTCCTCCGCTCCACCCTCGGCGGCCGTGCCTTCAGCCACTATGCCACTAGGAACTGCCTTCCTAACTCCATCTCGCTCCCTCCCTTCCCATTTTCAGATCTCTGCTGAAGACCTTTCTTTTCGACCGCACTTTTTCGGTCACCTTCCTCCCCCTCCCTCTGGCTCGGCCCCAGGATCCGTTACTGTGAAGCGCTCTGAGACACCGTTGTTGTCGTTGTTGTTGACAATAGGTTTCACCCCATCTGACTATTTTCCTTCCCAAACTAATTCCCTTTGCATGTTCCTACGAGTCAGATATCTAAGGATGATGGAATTGTTTCTCAAATTAAGTTTAATTTGTGGTTTCCTGAGCTTCAAATACGTCCTCCAATTTTCTTATCCAGATTTTAACTTGGTCATTTTTCTCAGTGACTGAGGATTCAATTCCCCTAGCCTCACTTCATTTAAAAATGATTCCTCTCTATTGACACTCTCTGAATCTTTTTCACTGTCTTTATTAGACTAATGCCCTGGGGATTTCATATAATAAATTCTTTGATGTGAGACGATTGCTAGTGTTCGGATAATTTGTCTACCTACAAATATTTTCTATGAACTGGAAATATACAATGGTGAATTGGTGCTGGAGAAATGAATACCTTTCATGGAACCCTTTCAGTAGGTGGACTCTCACTGAATACTAGACCACTATGTAGGTCATTGTTATAATAATAATAATAATAATCCTTGCATTTGATATAGCGCTTTTCACGTCGGGAAGACATCCCAAAGCGCTTCACAGAACACACTGTAAAGTGAATTGACTGTATATTTGTGGGCGAACGCGGCAGCCAATTGTGCACAGCAATGTGCCACAAACAGTCGTAGATTGAAAATGACCAATTTTATTATTGTTTTTGGTTTTGTGGAGGGATTATTATTAGACTCTGTGTGGAGTAAGGAAACTTGCCCAAGGTTATATCATTTAGCTACTGTTGATAGAAAAATGAACATGGTTTTTACCTGCAAATGGTGGTCCCAGCAATGCAGACACTCCATTGGCACAGATGATGATTCCAAAAGCATTGGCAAGGTTGTTTATTCCCACCAAATCTTCAGTTACACAGGGTATGAGTGCTAAATATCCACTGGAGAACCCAATTACAGCGCATACAATGGCCAAGTTGGTGAAAGTATACATTAGTGGAATAACCAGAATACAGACTGCAAAACAAAAGTTAGACAACACCAACACATTCCAGACACTGACAATCGGAAGGTCGCAGATTGTGCCTAAAATCACCTTACCAAGAATGTGGAGCATTGCTATGATCGAGGTCAAAGGAAACTTGTCGTTCTCAGAAGTTAAGCCGTACAGTTTGACAATCTCTGGGAGATGAATGAAAGGTATAACAAAACTACAGAAGGCTAACAAAGCCCAGAAAATATATGCTACAAAAACCTTGTTCTGAAAGAGTGATGCAGCTCCAAAGTAGCTTGAATACCATGTGTAAAATCCCAGCCTCACAGACCTCATGAACTTGCTAGACATTTTAAATAGGTTGGCTGCACACGCGTCTTTGAATGTGGCCCACTTAGCAGTTTGGTATTTACATGTAGCATCGAGAACATTTTGCGCACCAGCTTCCTTTGGTGGATTTCCTTTATATTCCTTTGCATCCTGCTCGCTGATCCCTGCATCAGAGCTTCGCCCATTAATAGAAAGAGCTGTACCTTCCATTCCACATGCCTCCCCTCTGATGTACTCAGTTTCTCGAAACTTTCTTTTGCTGGGCAAAAGTGGCCTCAAAAGAGCTCCGCAAACACACAGGTTCAAACTCACCGCTCCTTGGATGAACATGGCACCTCTCCAGCCAAATTCAGCATTCAGGGCTTTGAGTAGAATAGTTATGAAGAAGGCCCCAAATCCAGTGCCCGTTGTACTTATTCCCTGCGCCAGTGCTCGCCGCTTTTCAAAATACTTTCCCACCATAACTATGTTAGGCAGGTAACTCAAACCGCTCCCAATCCCTGCTCACACAATGCAGAAAAGAGACAGTCAGATTATGAGAAATCACAAAGAAAATATGCTGTATTCTGCCAATAAAACTCTGGGAATATGACTAAGGTTGTTGATCATATATAAAAAAAAACTCAATATGTATTAAAAACCTGCAACTAGTTACTATTTTTCTTGTAACTTAATTTTTGCTCCTGTTTCTTGCTCCCTCTCACTCCTATTTAATTATAGCACCCCATTTCCTGTCGTTTGTTCTATCTTCCTTGGGAGGAATGGTCCACCCCTTAGGAATCATCCCCTTAGATGTTCCTCATTCAGGCTATCAAGGCTAATACACTCAAACCTTACATAAAATGATCCCTGTCTCAACCAGGTGGTCCAGGCCTACCCCGGATGAATACGGTCTTGAAAATATGATAAGGCCCTCTTTCAAAAGGATAATTATTATTATTATTATATTAAACACTCCCCCTTTTGAGGAATTCTGATTGTTGATTCTCAACCAAACTCCAAATCTGAAATGCATTTAGAAATAGCTGTCTACATCTCATCCAAGAATGTCTTCTTCTGTTTCTCTTACAGGTGTTTCATGAAAGCTAGGCAGGAGTCTATATATTCACAGTATGTTATTTTGAACAAAGTGCCTCTCTTTTAGCTTAAGTCTTTGTAAATCATACTAAAAAGGGACCTCACTCCCGACAGGGCAAGAGAGAGGAAGTCCCTTGAGCACATGAGATTAGAGGAAGTCCAACTTCAGAATGGTCAGTCACAGCACAGGAAAAACAAAAGGTAATTTTTATTCAGCCATGAATAAGAATCCAAACCGTTTGCGATTGCAACTCAGATCCTGATAACAATTCTTTAGTAAGATAATTTAATAAAATGTTGAAAATCGACTTACCCACTACAACTCCAAAGGACAAGAAAAGGGAGTAGACACTAGTTGCAAAAGCACTCATCACCCAGCCCAGCGTCGTTAATATTCCTCCTATTATTGCGGTCTTACGGCATCCACACACGTCCACAAATAAACCTGCAATTGGTCCTGTGATATAGGAAAAAGAAAAGGTGCCTTAACCTCATTTACTTGTTTTCACTTAAAAACACATCTTATGCAACAGAGAAATCTTGGTACACCTAATTCTTGGGTTTAGGGTTAGTTTTGCCAGGATTAAGCTCAGTCGAACACAAGTATTGTGCCATTTAGAGTAAATCTCCCCCTTCTCTCCCTCCAACAATGTAGCTTTATTCTACACACAAACCTCACAAGAGCATCCCTATTGCACCAGTGTAGTTTTTGTTTCTCCACAACAAACATCCTTCCAGCATATCCGAGTGCCATTGGCAGTTTGATCGCATATTATGTTGGATCATCTCAAAACTTGTTTTGGACAGGCCAAGCTTGTTTCATGATGTATCCTGAGAACTCGATGTATGTGCATACCTTCAGGTCTGCTGGATTGACACGCAGGTTGCAGAGGTGAAAGGACGGTGCTCTAACCTGGACTCTGCCACCCAGATCTTTCAGAAACAATCGCAAAGTATCTTTTTCTGGACTTCATCTGAAGATGATGGTAGACAGACTTAGCTTTCCTGAGCTTTTCTGTCGGTTCAGCTGGCTGTTCAAAACGCCATTGCTTAACAATTCCATTGGGGACTTACTGACACCTAGGCATATAGATCAGCAAGGTTTAATCTCTAGTTTGTGTGGTAGATCTACTGAGTAAGGATTCTAATGATGTCACTGTAGTTATAAACATTACAGTGCATGTTGTGAACATCAGAAGCATCCTGGCAGGCATCAAGTAAAGGAGCCGCTTTAAGAAATCGCTCTAATATCAACAACTGTTTTGCTGAAATTATGCAGCAAATCTCATAATTGTTAACTAGAAAGTGGTATTCCAGAAAACATTGATGAATCATTCAAAAGCAACCAAATATAATTATCACATTATCACATGTAGGCACTCATAGTATACAATCTCCACACACCTCCTTAATCGTTATAACAAGGGCTGCTTAGTTTAGAACTCATAGCCTGAAACTGAAATTGTACTGACAGTTTCCTACATATTGCAGCTAGCATTTGGTGCCAATTTGGCTCTATTTTAGCACTATTTTTGTGTGTCAGGAGGACGTGTGTTCAAGCCCCACACCTGCATAGAGATCCAGCAAGTCCATTTTGATGTGCTTCTCACTCACCAACACTCTTGCAAATTCATCAATAGAAACCTACCAATAATCATTGCTATACCAAGTGACAAGGATCCAATCCACGCTGTCAGTCCACGGCTTTGTTGAAACTCCTCCAACCATTCCATGTAAAGTATCCCCAGAGACATCTGTGATCCCATGACGAGTATGTGAGCGATGAAAGAGGCCAGGACCACAAACCACCCCCAGCCTCCGTCTATATCTGGATTTGGTCTTTGTGGTTCAGTCCTGGTCTTAGCACTGCCTTCAAACTCATATTCAATGTCTGCATCGTTGGTTGCCATCTTGTCAGCAGAGAATTAGCAGAACCTGCAAACCCCCCCAAAAAATATGCTCATTACTGCTAAATGTTGGAATGATGAAAATAGATTTAAATGGACACAGAACTCAATTACATCTGCGCTGCTCAAACAAGCAGTGAGGCACATTGTCCATGGGGGGAAAAAGACTCCATAACGGAGATGTAGAGACCGAATATGGAAAAAATTCCATCTGGTTCTAGGTTAAATCCTCTTTAGGACATGGAGATTTGGGGTAAAATTTAATTTCAACTACAGCTTTCTGTAGTGCTTAACAAAATGTAAGATTTGTCCAAATTGTGCATGTTCATATTATGATGCTGAGGAAACAGAACAACAACGACAACTTGCGCTTCAATAACGCCTCCAAGCAGGGTAGCGTCTCAGAGCGCTTAACTTTGGTGGAGCCTGATCCTGAGCCTGGGGGAGGTGGCTGTAAGCACAGTTGAAAGGGAAGGTTTTCAGGTGGGACTTGAAAAAGGCAGAGGGGTTGAGAAAGAGTGTTCCAGAGTTTCGGGATGTAGTGACTGAAAGCGCGACCCCCAGTGTTAGAGCAGAGGGCGTGAGGGGCAAGTAGGAGGTTGGTGCCAGTCGAGCGGAGGCACTGGGTGATGGATTGGAGAGTGAGGAGGTCGGGGAAATAGGGAGGTGCCAGGGAATGAATGGATTTGAACACAAATGTGAGAATCTCGAAGTCAATCCGTTAGGTGATGGGGAGCCAGTGGTGCCTGGCCAGACCTGGTGAGCTGGGGGTACGGAGTTTGGTCCTGGTAAGTATGCAGGTGGCAGAGATCTGAACGAGCCTTTGAGTCGTGGAGCTGGGGAGACAACAACAACATTAAATTTGTATAGCGCCTTTCACGTTGGGAAGACGTCCCAAAGTACTGGACAGACAGAGTTACAGACTGGCATGGAGTGCGTTTGAGTAATCCAGGCTGTCTGACTTGGGAGATTTTCTGGTTTAACTTTATTATCTTTGAGGATTTTGCAGTATCTATATAATAAACTCAATCGGACATCTCGTCCTTACTTGCTATGTCTCTGCAATTTCTATCCGACTATACCGTACATTCACTCGAGGCCGAGATCAGCAATGTGCTCAAATTTACCCTCTTGCTGTCCTGTTTCGCTTCACTTACTGCTCTGATGAGAAACAGCCTGATTTGCCTAGGCTTCCGTTGGTTGTGTTTACTGCTTTGATGTGGATGCTGTTCGGATTTCTCGGTTGGCTCTGAATCATCCTTCTTGCAAATCCCTGGGTTGTGAAGGCTACAGAGAATCCTTCTCCTGCTGGAAGATGTTTTGTCTTGAAGTCGCTGCTGTTGATGATGTCTGCATACGGATTTTTTGGCTGCAACCTTGCGCTTCTCAGCCTGCTCATAGGCTCGTTCACTCTGGTGCCAGCTGGCTCCAGTTTTCAAAAGCTGCAGACACATCAACACACTCTAGTGGTTGGAAGGAATCAAGTCAGGAGACTGCAAGATCCACAGCAAAGTGCAAGCAATATGATATACCACGCAGTTTCTATACAATGTAGTATTTCTGGTTGCGTATCTTCGAGTGGCTAGCTGGGCCAATAGAAATGTGTGGCCAGACCTTGTCTGCGGAATCCTCTACAAATAACCCACTGCTACAAACCCGCAATAAATGGAGTTCCTGCTCTACGGTCTCCCTCCCCCCCACCTCCCCCATCCCCTGCTGTTTAACCCACGTCGCTGTGGGTGGGGAGGCTCCGGACGCACATGTGCGGAGCAGCTCAAGTGGGAAATGTGCTTCACTCGGAGCCACCGCTGTCGTGATTGTCTGTATGTCTCTGTGTGTGTGAGTCTGTGTGTGTGTGTGAGTCTGTATGTGTGAGTCTGGGTTTGTGTGTGTGTGTTTGCACGTGTCTGTGTATGTGAGTCTGTGTGTTTGCGCATATCTGTGTGTGTGTGAGTCTGTGTGTTTGCACATGTCTGTGTGTGTGTGTTTGTGAGTGTCTCTACGTGAGTCTCAATTCACTTTACAGTATATTCTGTGACATTTTAAGACATATTTTGAGATATCTCGAAGACGTGATAAGGCGCTATATCAAATGCAGTTCATCTTAACAGATGCGATTTCCTATTTCTGTGTTTATTAATCTACAAGAATTGAGCAAAACTGGTGGGATTTGGGATCTTTGATTAAAGGGACCGTATTGTGTAAATGGTCGATTCTTAATCACATATTTTAAAGTGATGTCAAAAAGCAAAGTTAATGATTCAGTTTCTGGTGTCTGGTACGCAACAGATTTGCACCTGATGAACACACTAAGATCAATGCAGTCACATGAAGACACAGCAGCTCTGCCACTAATGTAAGCAATCATTTCTTTGCTCACCGAATCATAAACATGAACTCAAAAAAACATTGCATATAGATTTATGTTCATCATTTCACTCCATTATTTACTGAAGCACAGACAGTCTGTGCTTTGTGTTCCAGGCTTGCAGGTGGTGAGCTGTTCCACGTGGCTACTCCTCTTTGCTCAGAGACCATGTGAACATTTTACATATCTACCTGGAAAAACCTGTACTGTTAATTAGGCAACACCGCCAGACACTGACCAATGATGCACTTACCAGAATGAAGCCCACATCTTTTCACACTTGTTTCTCGAGTTTCCCCCAGTCACTCTGCCTCGCCCCCTCCTTAGCCTCCTTCAAGTCCTGCCTCAAGACCCTCCTCTTCAACCATGCCATCGGCCACCCCCCTTCCCTCCCTTAACCCCCCCAAACCCAGCTCGGGTCTGAAATACTGTACTCTGTCCAGCGCCTTGGGACATCCTCCCGACGTGAAAGGCGTTATACAAATATAATCTTGTCGTTGTTCTCATCTCAAAGCACTTCACAGGTTTCACTTTAAAGTGTGGTGACTGGGTGAATACAGCAACAATGTCCCACTGACAGCCTTGAAGTGAATAACCAAATTAGTGTGCTAATAACAGTTTGCTCTTTGCTCTTGCAGTCCTCACTATAATAGCACGCATGTCTCTGACAGCACCAAAATCACCACAAAAGACACTGGTCTCTATATTATTGACTTGTGCAAAAATAGCTTTCTGCTGTAGGTTTCCACTCTCTACTGGTACTGTGACATGTACAATGACATTGACAGAAAGTACATCTGGTATTGAACCAAGGAAATCTTTGACAAAGCAACACAAATTCTTGCCAGCTGTTCTTATGGACCTACCAAGATTGATTCTCCATGTTGTCTGACACTCTAGTGTTGGCAGAGCTCTGTATTGTTGGATGTGCCATCTGTAAGAAGTACTGAAAATACTGGTGTGTTACTGAGAGTTTGCAATTTACTCCAAATTAATATATTCCCAATCTACTGCAACAACCACTATGTGCATCTGTGAGTGTGTGTGTGACTGTATGCATCTGTGAATGTGTGCATGTGTGCGTGTGTGTGAGTTGTGTGCATGTGTGTGTGAGTGTGTGTGTGCGCTCGCCTGCATAGTGTGTGTGCGTGTGTGTGCATGTGTGTGTGAGTGTGTGTGTGCGCTCGCCTGCATAGTGTGTGTGTGTGTGTGTGCATGTGTGTGTGAGTGTGTGTGCGCTCGCCTGCATAGTGTGTGTGTGTGTGCATGTGTGTGTGAGTGTGTGTGCGCTCGCCTGCATAGTGTGTGTGAGTGTGTGCATGTGTGTGTGAGTATGTGTGTGCGCGCCTGCGAGGTGTGTGTGAGTGTGTGCGTGTATCTGCGTGTGTATCTACGTGTGTGCGTGTATCTGTGTGTATATCTACGTGTGTGCATGTATCTGCGTGTGCGCGGGTGTATCTGCGTGCGTGTATCTATCTTTAAGGGTATGTAGCATGCATATCACACATGACTGTTTGTGGGACGCTGCTGTGCGCAATCGGCTGCTGCGTTTCGCCCACAAATATACAGTCAATTCGCTTTACAGTATATCCTGTGAAGCTCTTTGAGGCGTCTACAAGACGTGAAGAGTGCTATAGCAAATGCAAGGATTATTATACACTTTGCCTCTTTTGTCTCTTACCCAGTATAATCTTGGATTTTGATAGTTTCTTATTGTCTTTCCTTTTGTCCAACCTTTTTTCCTACTATTTTTTCTGGACCATATTTTTTCTCCCGGCTCAAAACTCTTTCCCTTCTGTTTTCTCGGCATCGCATACTCCTTAACACAGTGATGGGTTTCTACAGGGGATCAGACAGCTGGCTAACCAGAAACATTTTCAGCGGATGTGAAATAGACAGTAAAGGTCACACATTCGCTCATTGTTTGACTCATATATGATTCAGTATTTAACTCCTGCATATGTTCAGAAAGCACTGGGCAAACAATGATTGTTAACAACCTGCACTCGTGAAGTGCCTTTCACTTTGTGAGGAAGTCTCAGGGTATTTGACAGAGACCAAGTAGATCACCGAAAAGGGAGGAAAGAAAGAGTGTTTGAGGGTGTTGATCAAGGGCACTTTGCCTTACTTGCGATTCGCCTTACCTAAGACAGTGTGATGCTAAGAATAGACACAGAAGACATTAGCAATATCCAGAAAAGTCTTAAATTCTGAGCCACAAATGTAAAAAGGAAGCAGAAGTGAGATTATCGATTGGGAAACTGCTGAGCTATTCAAGTCCTTGAATCCTGGCTTACTGGTTGGAAGAGGGACAATGAGCTTTGGGTTGAAGTGAAAGTTGGACTGCGTTGGCACTTAGAACTTACTGCAAGCTGGTCTGACCACAAACATGCAGGAACAATTTGTATTATAACTAGACTTGCCTGGATTCAAAGTCTGATAGACATTTGGCATCTTTTTCTGCTATTCTGCATTCCATTGAGAATTCATTTTCATTAATTTGTTTAAAAATGTATCCATAATAATAACCCTAGCTATAGTTGGGAGGATGTCTCTCAGGGCACATCACAGGATGTAATGTAAAGTGGGGTCACTGTGCATTTTGTAGGCATTGTGATGCTGTAGGCATTTTTTACACTGTGATGCTCCAAGGTGAAAAATTCAGAACCAAAGGAGTTAAAATATGGACAGGGCCTTAGAAATAAATGGAGTTAAAGTTGAGCAAGGGGTTGAAGAAGAAGTAAGAATGCACAATTGCAGTCAGAGTGACTCAGCAACAGGATAAATTATTATTACCATTATTAATCTGTCTTTGTTTTGTGCCCTCTAAGTGCAAAAATTGTTCTAAAAATTTAAACTTTTTTTTGTCAGTTGGGTGTCATGCAGAAACACCGTGTTGTTAAGACTATCCAAACCAAACATAGTTTGTCGCATCCCACCTACACATGGAAATTCCTGTGTATTGGAATGCGGACTCTCTCCCTGGAGGATGCACCCTGTTTACCTAATCCGGGAAAGTATCAGGCGCAGGCTGGCAAGAGCCAAGAACAGAGTCTAACCAGCTAAAATCATTGAAAGCACTACCGGATAAGCTTCCCGCTGCTTGTCCAGATAGGATCATTCTACCCGTGAGGGCTTTGGCTTAAAAGAAGCTAAGTGGAAAGAATCCCTGCTCCCAGTAAACAACAAAAACAAAATTACATTTATAGAGCGACTTTCACGTTGGGAAGACATCCCAATGTGTAAAGAAAAACATTAAGAATAAAATTGTCAATAATAACTGAAGGAAATAAAAAAAAACACTTCATTTGCCCACTAATGCCTTATCTGAAAGGAGAGTATTTTCAGACAAATGAAACAGATTACTCTTGTGCATGACACCTAATGCAGGAATGTACTAGTGGATGATAGTACCAGACACTGCTGTAACGGAAATGGCATTGAAATAAAAGATTGCAAAACCAGAAATGGAGCTCCAAATGACCACAATTGGAAAATTTACGAAAGCAATTTGTTTCTTTTTGTTTTAAACCACACGTATGTTACCAATAGCACAGTGTGGTTATTTGCACCATTCAACCACTAATGTAGCAGTCACTATTTCAAGACGTTCATAGAACAGATGTGGCAAGAGCCTAATCTCACATCCGCAGTAGCAGTAGGATTTGGTGCTCAGGAGATTGTGGATTCCAAGCTCTCTGATATTCATTGAGGTCACTGGTTCCAATAATCGGAAGGATCTATTTGATAAAATGAAGGATAATCGTTATGTTGTCAAAGATCATGAACGGTAAGTAACTTGAAAATTAAACTAATAGAATAGCGAAAATAGTGTTGTTTGAGTAACGTTGTTGTCTGATTGTGTCATGGCTGCTTTATGCAATATTAAATACTGATAACTGGAAGTACTCAAACAAAACCTTATGTCTTACTGTTTAGGAAAAATGTTTTTGGAAGAGACACAAGTTTTTTCTACTCTCATTGACTTACTATTTTTTAATCTACTTTTTAATTACAATTTGATTAAGCCATTAACTATCTGTGAAATGAGTTCCACTTTAAACGCTTTCTCTCATATAGTGAAAAGAGTAACTGTACAAGCAAAATAACCTACAGTAGTTATTTCAAATATCTTTATCTGATACAACTTGCCTTATGGCTCAGAGAACTTGAATAACTGAGCTGTACATATTGGGTGGCCCCAAGTTTGATCCCTCATTATTCGCTGTTAGCTGATCTAATTTGGGGCATTGTAAATGGCCTGAGCCTTGGTTTAAGGAGAGGAATATCAGTCAGGATTGCTGTTCAAAGACTCTGCCGGAAGGTGTGTATGTGTGTTTCGGTGTGGATGTCAGGCGAGGTCAGCACCAGGCTTGGCTGTAATATACCATGCCGACATTCAGACTATGCAAAGCTGCCATTTTAATAATGTCCTCAAATTGTGGGTGGGGATAGTGCAAGTACCGCTGTGATCAGGCGCTGTATCAACTAGGATTATTATTATTATTATCCTATACCGATCAATTATAATAATAAAAAAATCTAATCCTTGTATTTAATATGGTATCTTTCACAGCAGAGTGTCTCAAAGCGTTGCATATTCATTTACCATAAAATGCAGGAACTCTTTATTTTGTGGGCAAACATGCCAGCTAATTTGTACACAGCAATACCCCACAAACAGCCATGAAGTGAATGAACTATTGTAGCTGGTGGGCTATTGCCCAGAACACTGAGAGGAATTCCCTTCTCTTTTTGAATAGTGTCATGAGATCTTTAACAAGCTCAGAAAACAGCAGATTAGACCTTGGTTTAACATCTCAGCCGAAGGACCTCCAACAATGCAGGGTTCCCCTAGCAAGTGTCAGCCTAGAGAATGAGTACAATATCCTGAGGACTAAAGCCACTTTGATTTGACCTGGGACCTTTTGGTTCCAAATATCGCGTTTATACCAAAACAGAGGAGAGAAGTGTAAAAAAGCATAGAGCTGATCAGCACCCAGGCTCTAGCGAATTTTGCTGGATGAATGTTTATAAAAGAACATTTCGCCTACAAAATACACTTTCAACCCACTTTACAATATATTGTGTGAAGCGCTTTGAGACATCTCAACAATGTGATACAGTGCTATATCAAATGCAAGGATTATTGTTATTATTCAGGAGTCCTGTAGCTCAGTGGTTAGAGCACTCGCTGTGAAATTGGGTTCAAGCGTTTGTCAGAAACCACACCAAGGATATCATTAAAACGTTTTATTAGCAATTATAAAACAAACACAAGCATAAGCATCACATTACACCCAACACATTATCATTACTCGTCGTGCTTAAGTGACTACTAAAGCACTATCTTAACAAGATACACTCAATGCTAAAATTCTTAACATGAAAGAAAAATATTATGTGATATATGAGATGTACCTAAATAATCTCTAACAGTTTTGTATGTTGAGTGTGTGTTTAAGTATGTAGGAGAGGAGCAAGCAGGAAGTTGTGACACGGTTCTAAGGCTGACACAGGAGGTAACCACTGTCTCTGGCTTGCTTCTGACTGCAAACATCTCTGGATTGTCTTGGTATGTGGTCTCTTTGCGGTTCACTCCGGCGAGAGCTGGACTTGTCCTCGTTCTCTCTCTTCCCTCAGAGGCGCTCTTCTTCCTCTCTCAGAGGCTCGTAACCACTCTTTTTTCGCCAGCAACTTTGTTCTATCTCCTTTCTTTTCATGACTTATTTCCAAATCCCTTCTTATTGTCCCAGCATTCTTACCCTACCTTCAAGTTGTTTTTCCTTGTACCAACGTCTGCAAAAGAACAATACTCCTCCTGTTCCAGCTTATCTAGCCTGACCAGACTGCTTGACTCCATGTCCCTGAAGTTTCAGTAATTCATTGTCCTCCTTTCTGACTCTGTCCATGTGGCCTGCTGGCCTCAAGCATTTTCTTGGTTTTTAATTGCTGATTTTGTATACCTGCCACACAGATGGCTTCCCATCCATTCTCCTGGTCCAATTATCCTTATCTTTCCTGGCCATGGGTCACATTCCAGTGTTCTCCTGCCAAGCTCAGTGTCTCTTTACTAGGAGTGGTGTGTGTGTATGCCACATGGCAGTTTTTTTTAATGCATTCTACTTAATTCACCTATTCACTACACGATCAATACTAATGATTCTTACACTATAATTTCAACTATTTACATTGCCTGGCAAGCGAGAGACCTGGGTTCGATTCCCGGCAGGGCGAAACCTCTGGCAAGTTTGCTTACTCCATGTCTGATAATATTCCCTCAAGAAAAAAAAGCAATAATCATTTGGTCACTCGATCCGTGACGATTTGTGGAACACTGCTGTGCTCAATCGGCTGCCGTGTATCGCCCACAAAATATACACTCATTTCACTTGTATATTCTGTGAAGCACTTTAAGACGTCTTGAAGAGGTAAAAAGCACTTTAGCAAATGCGAGGATTATTATTATTGATTTCATATTATAATAAAGCTAAACATAAACCTGTTGTGACTGTGAGGAAATTAGAAGAAATTTCTTCACACAACAAGTAGTGGGAATGTGGCACATGCTACCACAAGGATTTTTTACATAAAATTAATGAAAAATAAATCCCATGAGATGAGATAGTCCTGTGAGAGTTATCTAATCTGAAATGAGATTAGAAAATTTGTTGAGGCAAATAACAAAGATGCATTTAAGGGAAAGCTCGATAGGTACATGAGGGAGAAAGGAATAGAAGGTTATGCTTGAAGGCTTAGTTGAGGAAGGGCAGGAGGAGGCTCATGTGGAGCATAAACACCGGCTTAGACCAGTTGGACTGAATGGCCTGTTTCTGTGCTGTTCCCAACTCTTCCTTTCACAAGCTGCAAATCATCCAAAACTCTGCATCTAGTGTACTCTCGCACACCAGGCTCCGCAACTTCATCACTCCCACCCTCCCCGTCTCCACTGGCTCCCCATCCCCCAGAGGATCGAGTTCAAGATCCTCGTCCTCACTTTCAAGGCCATCCATGGCCTTGCCCCCTCCTACCTCTCTGACCTGCTGACTCCCTACCAACCTGCCCGCTCCCTCCATTCAGCGGACTCCGGCCTGCTCCATGTCTCCTGCCCAACCCGCCCTACCATCGTGGCCGAGCTTTCAGCCTCTCTGCCCCCACCCTCTGGAACTCCATTCCACAGTCTCTTCACCTCGCTTCCTTCCTTGCCTCCTTCAAGACCGGTCTAAGACCATCCTCTTCGATCATGCCTTCGGTCGCCCTCCCACCTCTCTACCTTCCGTCATCCCTACCCCACCTCTCCCCCATGCTCGGGTCCTGACCCCTGACTGTCCAGCACCTTGGGACTTCCTCCCGACGTGAAAGGCGCTCTATAAATGTAATTTTTGTTGGTGTTGTTGTATATTCTATGTTATTAATATATATTAATATATATATTAATATTAATATATTGTAATGTATTTAATGTATTATAGAATTCATTAATAATAATAATAATCCTTGCATTTGATATAGCGCCTTATCAAGTCTTCGAGATATCTCAAAACCCTTCACAGGATATATGGTAAAATGGATTGGCTGTATATTTTTGTGGGCGATTTTTGTAAATAACTAGACGGCTTGAACAGACAGTTTCGTTCATTGAGTATAATCCATAACTACAAAGTTGACTGGTGACCAGAATTGCACAGCACATTCAATCTGAGTGCTCTGGTCCTACATTTGTTGAAGGATATGATACAAAACTTTAATGTATTTGTCTTTTGTACTGATAGCTTTAATGACTTTTCAAACAAATTGTTTATTTCTTCCCTTTTTTTCACACAGACCATTAGAGAATTGAAACTACAAGTGGAAGACAGCTTCAGTATATTCAGTGAGCCCAAACTACCACGTGCACTTCAACAGAAAGAGCTTTGGCTATTTATTTATTTTCCATTTATGGAAGAGATTAAAGACAACTGCTACTCAGGGCTATGAACATCTCCAACGAGACTTCCAATTACTTAATCTATCCAGTGAAGACTTCAATTTATCTAATTGATTTAGTCTGCAGTTCCACGTGCAGTTACATGATAACACGTACAGTGCAAGAGAATGTGATATTGAAAGAAGACTTTAAATACTTTCTCCTGTGCCAGTATCTTATATGTACTTCCCTGTATTTCACCCTGGGTACATTGACAAACAGCTTTCATCTGTTCCACATCAACTCACCCAGGGTTATTTGCTGGATCTTGTTTGCTGTACAAATTACATTCGCACAATCCATCATGTTAACTTTAACCCTACTAGCCTTCAACACTTGTATTGCCATTTATTGGCCTCTGAGCTACAAATCATTTGTGAGTTTAGCAAAAAGGAAGATAATAGCAATATTTTGGGTTCTGTCCATGTTCAACCCATTCTGGTTATCCATATATGAAAGCTGGGGTATTAGTTTATCATATGTAACTGCAAAGGATGACACCTGCCCAAATGCTATGGATGGAACTGTTTCCAGAATAGCTGGGATGGTGTTCATTCTTCTGTGCTTCCTATTGATTGTATTCAGCTACGGTTTAATATACAGGGAAGGAAAAAGAGCTGGACATTTTAACAGCTCCAATTGTCGAGCCAGAAAGACGATTCTTATCATTGGTGTGCAGCTAAGCCTTTTCATTGTACCTGTTTTGATCACTTTAGCCCTAGCTAAAGAGGACCACACAACTTTTTATCTGCTTAATGTTAGTGTGTTTTCTGTGGCCCAGTGCCTCAGTCCTGTGGTGTACGGCCTCAGATACAAAGAACTCCGCAATAAATTGATAGCCACATGGTTCTTCTGCTGCACCAGTAAGAACAGTGATGTTTCCCAGTTGAGTGGAAGCATTGCTTCTAGAGATGCGAGTGTTTCACAGAGCATCCAAGTTTGCAATCTATGAACTTTCCTGTTGACCCAACCAGACTAATAATGGAACAGATTGCAAAATATAGTTGTAGCATTTTATAAATGTTTCAGACCTTTGTGAGGGGATCAAGTTTTGGGGGTAATAATATTAAAATAATTAAAATTCCTGCATTTGATACAGCAAATTTCACCTCAAAACGACTGTTTTTATTTTGTTTGACCTGCTTCACAACCCCTAACTATTTCCCAGCATAAACCACCAGATCTACCTCACCATTGGCAGGTGAGCTTTCAGACACTTTGCTCCCACTCTCTAGAACTCTCTTCCAAAATCCATCTTGCTCTCTGGCCCACTCCAGTTTCAAAACCTATCCAAAACCCTATCTCTTTGACTGTTGCTTTGGCCCCCTCTCCTCTCCACTTCCCTCATCCACCACTTGGCTTGGGTCTTACTCCATCTTTGAAAAGCACTTTGAAATATTCCAACTCTTTACTCTTTAAACTCTTTACTCACCTCAGTTTCCTATGGTTCCAAAACTCTGACTGTCCTCCCAACGTGAAAAGCGCTATACAATGTAATTTTGTGGCTGTTGTTTCAGCAATGCATGAGACACTCTGCACATTTGCCTTCTGCTGACCACAAACCTGGCATTCTATTAGGCATTTATTGCTTCAGCACACAGATAGAGAGGTCCACATTTATTCTATTTATGTAGCATCACAGAATGTCCAGGATTTAGCACGCTATCAAATGCAATTATTATTGTGCAGACAGCAAGAAATCAATGTGTAACAAGTACATGGAGATTGGAATGTAAAAGTAGCTACAAATCAACAGCAAATTACATTGTATAGAACCTTTCACATCAGGAAGACGTCCCAAAGCCCTGGACAGTCCAGAATTTGCGTCCGAACTTGGGGTTGGGATCAGGAGGAGTGGAGGGCAGGGAGGGTAGGCGTATGAGGCGCAGTTGTAGTGGAGGGTCTCGAGAAATCAAAGTTCAGTACCATCGCTAAGACAAGAATAACAATGTCGTCAAACATTATCTATAATCCCGTCCATGAGATCAAAGCTTTCTTAGAGCGGTGTAAATACACAAGACTCAAGTCGCACCTGAAGACCTTCCTTTTTGACCGGGCCTACGGTCACCTTCCCTTCCCCCTGGCTCGGCCATGGGCTCCATCATTAAGCGCTCTGAGACGCCGCCTGGCATGGAGGGTGCTATATAAGTGCAAGTTGTTGTTGAAACCCAAAGTGATCCACATATAGAGACTAGGCACCCTGCTCGAGTATTTTCCTGTTACCGTTTCGTAACTGGATTGTGTGGAATACTTTTGTTGTACTGAGAATAAGGCCTTAGCCTTCACTGGACTATTAAAGTGTAAGATTTTGAACCATTGGGACATTTTAATGTCAGCTTGGCACAGTTGGTAGACTTTGTGTCACAAGGTTGTGGGTTGTGGGCTGGATCCATCCATACCTTCAAGAGTGAGGTTGATAGATTTTTGGAAGGTCAGGTTATTAAGGGATTATGGGGAGAAAGCGGGAAATTGGAATTGAAAACATTAGTTGAGGTACAGATGAGCCATGATCCAATTAAATGGTGGAACAGGCTCGAAGGGCTGAATGACCTTCTCCTGTTCTTATGTTGCTGTGTTGAAACGGACATCAGGACTTTGAGCTCACAGTGTGGGCTGACTCCGCTGCATGACTGAAAGTGTTGTCCTTCTGCCTGTCCAGGTGAATGTTAATTGTTGTTGTTGTTAAGAGATCCCATGAAACTACTAAAATAGAGAACAGGATCGAAGTGTCAAAACAGACAAGCTCCTCAGGTATTATTCACAATGATCACTGCACGCACCTTTCTTTTAATCCTAATTCTTGAACCGCTATCAGATTATTGGAGAAGACTTGCTGACTTCCAGCCTCCAATCTCTTTCTCTCTCTTTCTCTCTATCACAACTGTTCAGTTGGCAGCACTCTCACCTCTGAGTCAGAAGGCTTTGGTTTAAAGGAACACTCAGCAGGCCAGGCAGCATTTGTGGAGAGAGGGAAGTGGATGAACGTTTCAGGTCGATGTCTTTCGTCAGTTATCATAGATGCTGCCTGACCTGCTGAGTGCTCCCAGAGACTTCTGTTTTTATTTCAGATTTCCAGCGTCTGCAGTATTTTGCCTTTTATTGAGTTTAAGACCCATTTTGGGACTCTGAATTTACATGTCTAGGCTGACACTCCCGTGCAGCGCTGGGGCCATGCTATATTATTGGAAGTGCCATCCTTTGGCCTAACATTCAACTAAGGTCCCATCTGCCCATTAGTCACTACGCTACACCTTTCACATCAAAAGAACATATCAAAGTGCTTTGTGATGTAGAATCATAGAATTATACAGCACAGAAGGAGACCATTCGGCCCATTGTGTCTGTGCCGGTTCTTTGAAAAGAGCTATCCAAATCAATCCCACTCCCCCGCGCCCTGCAAACTTTCCCTCCCCATGCAAAAGGTATTATATCAAATGTAAGGGTTATTCTGATTATTTGTCTCCTCTATTTGATTAATGTCGCTGTGACCATTGCTCCCCTGTAGTTTCCTTTTCCCAAGCTCCAAGTGCATCCTCCTACACATTCTTTTCCTCCGTACTCCCTCCCTGTGTTGAAAGAATTATTGTGCTTTTGTGCCCTCTTTGTAACTTGAGAAATGTAGGTGAAGCGCGGACAGATAAATCCAGTAGCAGGGAGGTGATGCTGAGCACAGTTTGGTTTAAAAACCTGCAGATTGTGCCGCCTGAAAACCTTCCTTTTTGACCGTGCAGCTCCCCCACCCAACCACCACCCCACCCACCCCCCCAGCTTGGAGTCAGGCGCCACCACTGTTAAGCACTCTGAGGTGCTGCCCTGTGTGGAGGGCGCTATATAAGTGCAAGCTGTTGCTGTTGTCCTGAGAAGGAATGAGTTTGAGCAGGAGACGGAGAGACGAGCCTTGATTTCAACACAATTGGCACCTAGGAAGTAGAAAGGGTGTGTAGGAGAAGATAATAATAATATGCACCTCGGGCGCCGGCAGCATCAGCCTCCACGGCTGTACACTCAACCTCACTAAGCCAGTCAGGAACCTGGATGTCTTGTTTGACCCTGAACTTTCTCCCCCATGTCCACGCCATGACCGGCACTGCCTACCCTAACTCTGCAACATTGCCAGACTCACAAGCTGCAGATCATCGAAAACTCTGCAGCTCGTGTACTCTCATGCACCAGGCTCCGTGACCCCATCACTCCCACCCTCGCCTGACTTCACTGGCTCCCCATTCCCCAGAGGATCGAGTTTAACATCTTCGTCTTCACTTTCAAGGCCATCGGTGGCCTTGCCCCCTCCTACCTCTCTGACCTGCTGACTCCCTACCAACCTGCCCGCTCCTTCCGTTCATCAGGCTCTGGCCTGCTCCATGTCTCCTGCCCGACCCGCCCTACCATCAGTGGCTGGGCTTTCAGCCTCTCTGCCCCCACACTCTGGAACTCCATCTTCGCCTCGCTTCCTCCCTCGCATCCTTCAAGGCCGGTCTCAAGATCCTTCTCTCTGGTCGCCCTCCCACCTCTCTGCCTCCCCCATGCTCGGGCCCTGACACCTGACTGTTCAGTGCTTTGGAACATCCTCCAGAAGTGAAAGGCGCTCTATAAATGTAATTTTGTTGTTGTTGTTGTTGTAATCCTTGCATTTGATGTAGCGCTTCATGGAATATACTGTAAATTGAAACAAAAACAGAAGTCGCTGCGAACACTCAGCAGGTCAGGCAAGATCTACGGAGAAAGGAAAGTGATTGAATGTTTTGGATCCACGACCCTTCATCAGAACTGGGCCATGTTGGGAGGGAGAGGCTTTTAAGGATCAACAGAGAGGGGGCAGACAATGCAAGGAAGACAACGGAGCAAATGGGATAGAGGACAGGGGATGATGGATTAAAGAGGTGTTATTGATGGGAGAGGATTACAAAACAGGGGAAAATAGGTGTTAATAATGCAAAACAAATGGGGGGGGATTGCAACAAACCTGGCAGACCAGAGAGAAAAGCTGTGTCTGGGACCCAGATGATGTGGTAATGGTCACAGAAGAGGGGGAGGGGGAAGGTGAGCCCCTTTCTGTAACTCTATCATGCAATCCCTCTGCCTCAACCCCTCTCTTGCCTCCTTCAAGTCCCGTCTGAAAACCTTCCTCTTCGATCGCGCCTTCAACCATCCTTCCACCTCCACTCCACCTACCTTCCTCCCGTTCTGACCCCAACTCCAAGCTCGGGTCCAAAACCCCTGATTGTCCATCGCTCTGGAACGTCTTAGGGCGCTATACAAGTGTAATTTGCTGTTGTTGTTGTTCCTCCTCTTTCTTAACTCTCTGGATGTTCTTCTATACACTTTGCCTCTTTTGTCTCTTAGCCAATATAATCTTGGATTTTGATCGTTTCTTATTGTCTTTCCTTTTGTCCAACCTTCTTTCCTTCTATCTTTGTAGACCATATTTTTTCTCCCATCTCAAAACTCTTTCCCTTCATTTTTTCGGCATCACATACTCCTTAACACAGCGATGGATTTCCACAGGGGGTCAGACACCCGGCTGACCACAAACATTTTCAGCAGATGTGAAATAGGCAGTGCACAATGGGTAACGGTTACAGGTTTGATTCTTTTATTATCCTGTTTAATGTCTCATCTGAACGACAGCCCCCAGCACAGCATTTGCAGCGTCAGCTTAAGTCATAACTTGAGCTTTAAGTCATAACTATTAATGAAAAGATCAAGTTGTAGTGGTGAATTAAACATAGCCATGTTTAGACCAGTGACAAATGCAATACATTCACTCCCGGCTTATTTACCTTGAGGGAGGGAACAAAGAGCAAGTTTCCTTACTCCACACACCTAATAATAATAATCCCTCCAAAACAAAACACAATAATAAATTGGTCATTTTCAATCTACGACTGTTTGTGGAACACTGCTGTGCGCAATTGGCTGCCGCATTTCGCCCACATATATACGGTCAATTCGCTTTACAGCATATTCTGTGAAGCGCTTTGAGACGTCTAGAAGACGTGAAAAGCGCTATATCAAATGCGAGGATTATTATTATTATAAGTAAGTCTTCTGATTCATAGTAGAAACAAAAACAATAAGAGATTGTATTACCAGAGGAACAGGTAAG